CGCATCCATAGATCTGGTCGGCACACACACATCGGGCTTGAGGCGACCTGACATGCCCGAGACGAACGACCTGAACACGCACCCGCTGGGATGGAATGCCAATATAAGCACTGAGATTGGCGTCAACACTGTCTTCGACTTTGCTGTCATTGAAGCTTGCTCTTTGAGGCCTCAAGTTTCCCCTGTCGCCTACGTTGATCAACTCTTCTTAAGACACCCTTCCAAGCTCCGAGCATGTCTGAATATTGGCGAGCTCGCGAATTGTAGCTTCATTCCTCCTTGGTCGCAGGGAGACGCTCGAGGGACAAACTGTCGCGACTGCGGGCCTGGAAGCGTGTTCATTGACTACGCCATGAAGTACTGCACTTCAAACGACCGTAACAATGACAACGACGGGAGATATGCAGCGCCGGGGAAGCCTAATCAAGCTATTGTCACACGGTTCCTCCAGACGTACGATTACTCTCGCGTCTTGCCTTCTTTAAGCGTAGCCCGGGAAATGTTTGGCGAACATGAAGCCCAACGAGTTGTTGATGAGTGCATCTTCATGAAACTCTCTGAAGCAGACACCATCGCTACTGTTACCCGTATAACAGCCGAGAACATCTTGAAGCAGTATCGCAGACTTCTCGCGCTCCGCATCCCTGCCAGCCAACACGTCGACGAACTCTTCATCAGTGGCCCGAGTGCGCGCAACGCGAACATCATAGACTACCTCGAAGCGGAGCTCCCCGAGAGCGTGATAACAAAGCCATTCGACGATATAGGCATACCAGGCGATGCAAACGAGGCCGTGTGTTATGCGCACCTTGCTCTGGAATCTGTGTTGGGACAACCCACACGCAGTTCCGCCGAATTATCGCGGCCTTGGAGTCAGTCGGGTCATGATGCTATACTGGGCAGGGTGGCGCGGGGCGAAAGTTGGGAAACCCTAACGGCTCGGCTGCAAAAGTTTGGCGATGGGAAGCCTCGCAATTTGGCGCACAACGTGGAGATTATCGGTAGCATGGAACCGGTCATCAAGGATCTGGGAACAAAACGATGAAACGAGCGTGATGATGGGAACATGGGGCGTTGAAGGGGCGGACAGGATAATATGGCAATGCTGTTCTTGTTGCCTGGGGCAAAGCGGTGCTGCGCTCTTTTCCGCGGACCTTCTTTGAGGGTAATTTTCTTACGTCACAGGGAGTATGGATCTCGATGCACAACTTGGTGAGGTGTCTGAATAGCAACGCACGCGTACACCTATCATGCTGGCTTTCATGCGCTTTTACATCCCAGGTGCTCCTTTCGCAATGCTTCCGAATGAAGCTTAACTTTAGCGTACTCAGGTATATGGCTTCATGGCACCGAATACAAGATTGCTCCCGAGATCTAACATCTTTTTTGCAACTAGCATGAAGCGATGGTATCGTTCAGCAATCGCGACGTCTCAAGTAGTAGCCGCATTATGTACATGCACGATGGGGATTTGAACTACGTGCGAGAAAAACACATGACGAACTTCGTGAGTACTACAACACCACTTTTTCAACGTGAAGTGCTCTTTACAGGATATTACAACTATGATGCTGTTCGAAAGCTACGAATGCTGGATTGTGCCTTCGATTTACACCATATTCCACACCAATCTGTAACGCTGATCACAACGTCTAGATATCCGTTACCAGAGCTTGGCGGACAGAGATTGGTGTTCTCGAATAGGCAGACCGGGAGCAATCAAATCGCAGTCTTACTTCTACCGTGACGTTACATAGTCATCGTTAAGCAATGCGCAACCAGACAGTCGTCACGATTCGGGGTGGCGAGACACTTTGCTATGTGCACGCCTAAAAGTTTGCGTTGCACGCCGCATGTGCACAACGTCTTTCACCAGAGGCGAGCAGGAGTGACACGCTCATCATGCATCATGCATCATGAGACCACGTATCGAAGGCCCAGTCCTTCGATCGATTGTACCATTCAAATTCCATTCGCAGTGCGCGAAACTCTGATAAGAATCATTTGAATCATCATTTCGCTAATTACAAAATGTACTCGCACCCTTGCTAAAACTAAGCTGTCGCACTTTTTCTGTTTCAGACCGCGGTTGCAGTGACAGTCTCGTTTTGTTTGCCTTCGATGATGTCACGCATGATGCGCGCCTTCTGTTGCTCTTCCGCCTCACTGCTGACATCCTTGAAAACCTGGTCCATCTCCTCCAGGGTCTTACCAGATGTCTCTGGGACGACGAAGAACGTGAAAATAAAGGCGAGTCCACAAAAGACGGCGAAGAAGGTGTAGGCTCCGAAACCGGTGTTTTGAACAAGAGGAGGAGTAATCAACCCCTGGTATACAGGTCAGTCACTAGCCACAGACAGTAAAGACGAAGGGCAAACTTACGATGATGAAGTTGTTGAGCCAGTTGGAGCACGTTGAGAGCGCGACACCCTTTGCTCTCAACGAAGATGGAAAGATTTCGGAAGGCATAGCCCACGGGACGGGACCCCAGGTAGCACCGAAGCTGAACATGTAGAAGAAGAGGAAGGCGACGGCAACCCAGCCTTCCACTGCAAAGTCCAGCCATCTTCCACCAAACTTGCCAACCAAAACAGCGATGATGAGATGGCAGATAAACATGAGAGCGGCACCGGTGAGGAGCAGTGGCCGGCGCCCGAAGCGGTCCATAGTCCATAAACTTGTTGCGACACCAACGAGCTGCGTGCAGTTGATGATGCCAGAAAGTAGAAGCTGCATCTCGTAGTCCTGACCCAGCGTTTCGAAAAGAGAGGGCGAGTAGTAGATCAACGCATTGATACCTAAGGTAGTGTTAGTAATTTATCACGTCGTAGTGAGAACCTTGGAAGGAACATACCAACAAACTGCTGGAAGAACATGATGCCAACTCCGACGACGGTGCGCTTCCAGCATCCATGTCTAAAGCAGTCGAGCCAGGACTGGACCTCAAGCTTGAACTCATTCGTGCGAGTTTTGGCCTGTAATTCAGGGTGCCTCTCAACGCTCACTTCGTGGTTGAAGGTAACTTCGGCGCGGATCTCGCACCATTCTTGGAAGATACGCGGGTCGTCAGTGGGAAGCTTGCGGAGCTTGCCTAGTACGACTAGGGCTTCGTCGTCGCGGCCTTTACTGGCCAGCCATCTTGGAGAGAAGGGTAGGAAAACAATACCAGCACCAAGAATAAGACCAGGAATCATCTGAATAAGGAACGGCAGACGCCATGACCATTCGCCAGCCATGAAACGCGTACCATAGGTCGTCCAGAAGGCGATCACGATGCCGAGGACGATGCTGAACTCCTGCAAGACAAGAAGAGCACCGCGGATCTCCGGTGGGGCAATCTCAGAAATATATAGCGGGGCGATAGTTGCAAGACTACGCGAAGTTAGCACCTATCCCTTGTACAAAGATGGCTCGACATACGCTCCAATTCCCCATCCTCCAATCAAGCGTCCGACCGTTAACATGGCGTAGTCCATTGCTGCTGTTTGTAGAATACTTCCGACCGTGAAGATAATGACTGCGACGACGATGGAATATTTCCTGGAGAGTTTGTCTGCAATCCAGCCGGCAAAAAGAGCGCCGATCAGTGCGCCCAGTTCAAGCATAGCAGTCATCAAGCCCTTCCAGAAACCAGCTCCTGAGGCTTCACTCGAGACACGCGGGAAACGGCCGAGGAATTGATCCATGACGAGCGTTACTGAAATTACACCCTGATCGTATCCAAAGAGAAGACCTCCAATCGTAGCGAAGGCTGCACACATGGCAACGTAAGGGTTGGAGAAGAGACCGCGGAAACCTGGCTTTGGAGTTAGCCTACGTGTGGCTGGAGTTCCACGAAGTGATATGCATACCTGTTGGTCCATAGGGTTCCCGAGTCACCATTCCCTGTTTGCTAGGGTACGGAGACATTGCCTCGCGCTGCTCATAAGGGGCGCTCTTGATCGAATCTTGTCCACCCATGATGACGTACAGTGATACGGGTCGTGTTGTGGTGAAATCGCCTATGTAGTGAATGGCCTGGCCAGGAGAGAGCAGTGAATGCGAGGAGGCAATCGACCGCTTTATGCACTTTCGATATCTCGCTTGATGCCGCGTTAACTCTTGTCCGGTGGGTCCACACCATGTACAGTATCTGCCAACGCTAGTGCCAGGCGTCTGACTGCCGTTAAGCGCACCTCCGATGACTTCCCAGAACGAACGCCAAGGAGTGTGAATGGAATGCTAGAAAAGACCACGGCCGGCATTTTCTGGAGCGGCTTCACGTTGGCTAAGCTTTACACCTACCTCTTACGACCTTCTGTCTGTTAGGTTCTTGGGCGACTTGAGATGCAACCGCGGTGTGCGCATGTGGGGTTCGTGCTGTTGAGGCTACGCCGCTTGGATCGGAAGATTCGCTCGAAGTTTCTGTGGGACCCTTGTGTCCGAGACTGACCGAGCTGCTCTGCTACGGATCGTGAGAATCAGTAGCAATTGCATGATGAACGTCTTGATGCTAATCTTGAAATTAGATCGCGTGACATTGTGCTCCGAATTTGCTTCTGAGAGGCTGGCATTGGCTCCGCAAACCTTCAAAACCCCTGCTGCCGGCGTCATACGCCCTTCTCCGCATCTTCAAAGGCCGCGGTGACCGTATGGGGTGCTCGGAGACCCCAGAAAACGCGCGCGAGCGTGCCAGTGCTACCCCGGATTTCCCAAAATTAGGCTCGCGTCGTTCCGCGCTGTGCAGTCGTCCAGTTGGGTAAACGTCCTTTCAAAGCTGACCATCCCAAGGGAAAAGCTGCCGGCGAAAGTGGAGGTCGCGGCGGGAATTGCTGCTTGAAGTGAAGATTAGTGGAAGCTAGGCGCTGGGCTAACCCCGATCAGCATCGGAAGGAAAGAGTCGCCGACAAGTGGGCCGCGCTACTGAAGGGACAGTAATTCTAACCGCCGACCTGTCATCCTTCCGATATCACGCACGACGTCACTACGTCTTTCGATCACTCATCAGTTCAGTTTCAGTACAGGACAGAAACGTGGGGTCTCCACATTCCTTCTCACACGTTCATCTGGGGGAAAGTACGGCGACTTATGTTCGTGGTCTCCCCAGACACTGTAGAGCGGAAGCGGAGTGAACTCTTCTAACCCCTGCACCCAAGGGAAGGATATGATGCATGTCTCGTATGCACTGCACATTCGATGGCGGCATTCAATAAAATTTATGTGTCCCAATGCATACTTCGGGGGACGAAAGGATGACATACCGGAACCGCAAGAACGAGCAGATGGTATTCCGTTTTATGCTTCCATTACAGCTGCTCTAACACACTACAAGGTACTTGTCCTACCCTCGAAAGTTTCAAAACATTCATGACATTTCACCTCATCGATGTAGCCTCGTCATGCCCACAACCAGGCGCTCGTCTCCATGAAAGCCCATCCTCTCCCTCTTCATCAACATAGTAATGCGATGGGTGGTCGAGACGGGCCCGCCAGCACGAGGGCGTACAATCTTTCCTCTTCCTCAACTCGTATCGTACAGCGTGAAAATATCCTAAGGGCAGGTCCTCCAATCGCTCCCTTAGAATGCCGCCCAGAGGCAAGAGGTACGCGAACATATCCACCAAAAACGTACGCAAACGTGAATTAGACCTCGAAAACTCGTACGTGTATAAGATGACATCGTCTATCTCGAGGCGCCAATCATGGATATGCACATGGATGAACGCATCCATGACATCGTTCATCCAACGCCTGTCTTCGATCACCTCGCCAAAGATGTATGCGCGAGCCAAGAACTTGAGAGCCTTGTCAGAGGTAGAAGGAGTGAGTCGACCAAGGGCAGCCATGGTAGGAAGCACGCCACGATCGAGCCATAGCACGTATTCATTGACCACTCGGTGGGAGAATTGTTCGCCTGCGAAGTGAATCCATAGTCTTCCAGCATCTCGGTTGACGTTTGCAGAGAAGTAATCCGTGTTCCTCGCAAGGGTGTGTTCGCGAACTTTCACGACTCTATCGTACCGATAATTTGCGTACAGCTCTACAACTGAGCCAGGTGTACTGTCTAGGATCAGAAGATGATCTTAGATATCTAGTGCAACAAACTTACCGTGAAAGTATTGCCCGACTGTCAGGCCCGAGTATGGGATAATCCCTCCTGATGAGTTGGGACAGGCGCCGGTCAGCTGGCATTGGTTGAGATGTATCTGGTTGTACTGGTCGCGCTTGGGTTGGGTTTGGTTGAGGTGAATTGCGCGGATCTGGACTTGATCGAACCGGAGGCGTTGCAGGCACGTTGGATCTTCCGAGTGGTGTTCCGTTTGCTGGACCATTCACATGAGTCGACCTAGCCGTGCCATGGTTGTTCCGCTCTGGTTCCAACGATCGCTGGTTCTCGCTAGATTGTGCGAGATCGTTAGACTGCGGTACTGGCCGACCATAGGGAAAGCCCCTTCCTTGGTTCTGCGGCCCAGTGGAAGCTGACGGCGAAGCGGTAGAATTTTCCAAGATTTCTCGAAGAGGAGGTTCGGCCCTACCATGAGACTTCGGCTCTGGGGCTGACGAAGACAATACTTGTGTCTGGGCGCCTTGTTCGCGGGTTACAGTTTCAGGTTGGGCCGGCGGCTGTGGCTCAAACCATGGCTCTGTCTGGGTGCCCTGGTTTTGGGTAGGATTCTTAGGTTTGACTGGGGCCAACGGGAGTGTCCATGACTCTGTTTGAGTGCCTTGAGCTTGAACAGAAGTCTTAGGTTTGTTAGGCTCTTGTGACTGTGCTGGCAATTGTTTCTGAGCCTGAATGGACGCCTTGGACTTGGAGGACTGTGCCGGTAGTGGTGTCTGGGTATGTTGAACCTGAGTGGGTGCCTTGGACTTGGAAGGCTGCTGTAACTGTGCTGGTGGTGGTATTTGGGTGTGTTGGACCTGAATAGAGGTCTGAGTTTTGCTCAGCAAATGTGGCTTATCAGAAAGGGGTTGCGCAGTCGCAGGCTGTTTTACTATTTCCTGAATAGGTGGTCCAAGTCGATCGTTGTGCTTCGGCTTTTGGGCAGGCAATTCCATCGACGCTCGTGCTTTGTTCCCCTGATCCTCGGAAGGCTCATGGATTTCTCCAAGCTTTTGTTTGGGCGGCGGCGGCGACAGCGTCCGATGAGCTTCGAGAGGAGCTGATGACTCGTCGCTAAGAAGATCCCCAGGCGCTTCTTCATCCTCGACCTTTGGGTAGCGCACAAGGTTATCAGTTGTAACGATTGTACCCTGCTTCTCTTCGCCATCTGTTACTTTCAAGTCTTCTTGTAATGTCTGTGACCCGAGCGAAATATGCTGGAACTTATCGCCTAGATCATACTGAGAGTTTGTGGCATCTTGGGGCTGTCCAGCATCTTGAGACTCCGCAACATCTGTGATGTCTTTCTTACCAAAGGACCATGCGTTGGTAGGAGCTTTGCTATTAGGACGGGCATCACTAGATACATCTTCAGAATCTGGTCCCTTTCGCGCCTTCTTCTTTTGCGTTGATGGTGTTGTCGTCCAAGGTAGCTCAGTCTCGGCGATATCGGGCTCTTGCTGTGGAAGCTCGCCCTGCGGGTCGTCGTTCTTGACTGGCTCAGTTGCAGCTACCTCCTGTGTCTGTTCTATAGTCGGCGTGGATTCGATAGGCTCTTCGGAAGTTTCGGCAATGTCATCCGCTTCGCGTGTTGCATCGTCCTCGGCATCATCACGATCCCAAGCTGAGGAAGACTTTAAGTCGACCAAGGTTTCGGTCTTGCTCTCTCCTTGCTTGTCGCTCATGCCGCCCCGTTCCTTCTTTATCTTGTTTGCATTGGCCAACCCATCGGCGCCGGGGGCGTTCTTATTCTTGCCCTTCTTGCCCATCTTTGTGATTGCTGACGTTTGCTTAAGGAAGGAGCTCAAGTGACTCTTGATGGAGCTTGATGAAAATTCTGGTTGAGTAAAGCAGAGTAAAGCAGTGCAGTGGTGAGGTATTGAGTCGAGAAATCGAGGGGTTACATAGGCCAGGGGAGTGGCAGAACGACAGCTACTCATTCGGTCGGTGCAAGTGCACGTACCTATTGGAGACAGCCACTGGAGACTGCGATACATTCTCCAGTGTGTTTGCAATAGCGGTGATGAGTGAAAACCGGCCGAAGTAAAAGACATTCACAATCGCGCATCATGGAGTACGCTGGACATCTTCCAGGCATCGTCAAAACTCTACAGTGTAACCTTTTGGGGGTAAGTGAGGAAGCTTGTTAGTTCAGGCTGTATCGCGAGAAAAGTATTGATTGGGAAACTGAATCTTGAAAAGGCCCCAGTGCCGCCTGACGGGCTCTCTCTTGTTGTTAGAGAGAAGCCTCCTTGTACCAAAGATGCGCACACATGCTGTGACTACAGGCAGATTTTATTGTAAGGTAAAACTTAAACAGGCCTACAGCTTACGTTAAGACAAAACTTTACGAAGCATACAACCTAACGTTAACGTGGGCTCTACACGCCTTTGTCCTTTGGGGGGCACGAAGGCTGGTGCTACATCGTTCCTCTTGCCTGAATAGTGAACAGCGAAAATTGCCAACCTTTAGTCGCTGACAGTATTGTCACCAGTGAATGGCGTAGACCAAATCTGTATGCTAGAGACATGTTGAAACATATTTGCCGTGACGAGAGAAGTTGTGAGTCCACGGATTGCTGCGAGGCTGGCTAGAGGGGATTTGATTCATGATTAGCGCATGAAAGAATACAAACTGGTAGTAGAACATACATTTCTCAGACTTCGTTCCAGCATAGACCAATAACCTTCCGTGTACTCACTCCATGAGCGCGCATGCAGTCTCGACTTCATCTTTGGTATCGGATCCAGAACGTCCACCAATGCTTCGCGAGGTAGACAATTGAAGTCTGGCTTCCTAACCTCGTCCTGAACGGTAGCATATGCACACATGTCCGCTACTAATGCCCTGATCGGCGAAATTTCGGGTGTGCCACGGTAGAGAACGCGTATAGCCTCCTCAGAAGGAAAGCCTGGGGTGTTGAGCAGTGTCCGGTCCTGCGGTGGATCATCTACCTCGTCACCATGACTGTCATTCTGTACACCGGCCATGCTTTCAAAAACATTCTGCTGGTACTGCCAATCCAGTAACTGCTCGCCAAACATGTATGCGGTCGCAAGAATGGCCCAAACTGGATTGTTCTCCTCGCCATCTTTGAAGAATCCGTTAGGACTAAAGCGCCTTCACTTTCAGGGTATGTAGTCACGAGATCAGTATAAAGTTGTGTTTAGTGTTCATGTGCAAATATCAAATGTGAGAGTTATACATTATCATAACTATATCATTAGAACTAACGTAGATGCTCATATCTCCTTCGGGAGTAGCTATCTACTGTCCAACAACAGTAAAGCTGTCCTGGACCTTCAGGTCTCGGCTGCTCAATCCGACCCAGATGGTGAACTCGCCCTCGGGGATGACCCACTGCTGGCTGACAATGTCCCAGTAGCTCAGATCCCTGCGCTGAAGCTCAAAGCTGACGGTCTCCTTCTCGCCCTTCTCAAGGTATACCTTCTCGAAGCCGCGGAGCTGACGGATAGGTGTACCAGCTGGGGCGGAAGAGGGAAGGCCGACGTAGAGCTGGGGAACGGTGGCACCGGCACAGTCACCAGTGTTGGCAACGGAGACAGTGACGTTGTAAAGAGACTCCCAGAGAGCTGGGTTGCCACCGGGCTGGATGGGAAGCTGCTCGGGCATGGAGGTGATGTTGTGCTCCAGAGGGGAAGACTCAATGTCGGAGATCTCAAATGTGGTGTATGAGAGACCGAAACCGAACTCGTAACGGACAGACATGTTCTGAAGGTCGAAGTGGCGGTAGTCAATCTCGAGCTTCTCGTCGAACCAGCTCTGCCAGTCGGCGAATCCGGTAGTGTTGATGGCGGTGGTGGGAGGCGCATTCCAGTCATCACCATTCTCGGCAATGGTGTAAGGAAGGTGACCAGAGGGGTTTACATGTCCGTACAGGATGTCAACGAGTGAGTTTCCAGACTCTTGGCCGGGGAAATGGGCAGCGAGGATAGCGGTAACGTTGGGGTGGTCAGCCCATGGCAGTGTGTTGACACCAGCAGAGTGGGTAACAACGACAGTGTTGTTGCAGTAAGAGGCGACAGACTCGACAACATCATCACCATCCCAGTCAGACCCCAGGTGAGCACGGTCGTCACCTTCCTCAGCCCAAGTCTTGAGCATGACAATGCAGACCTCGGGGACAGCGCGGGGGATAACTAGGGTGCTGACATTGTTGGCGATGATGTGAGTGTTGTTGAGGAAGAACTGAGTGATACCGCCATCCTCGGCGACACGGTTCTGGATGGCACGGAGAGGGGTGACCATGTAGGTGAACTGGCCGGTACCTGAGCCACCGCCGGCGAGAATGCTACCGTATTCGTAGTTTTGCTGGTTGAGGACAGAGCTGCGTGCTGGGTCGCCTGCATCGTTACCGAAGATGGCGACGTTCTGAGGAGCCTTGAGAGGCAGAGTGCGGTCCACGTTCTTGAGAAGGACGCTGCCAGCGGCACCGTGTCGGCGGATAAGCTCGCCGTGCTTGCCACGGACATCACGGCTGACTTCGCCGGTGAGGTTGTACTCGCGTGTCCATGTGCTGCGGGGCGAGAAGGTGTTCAGGTCAGCGCCTGAAGGATCAGCCGACGGGAAGTCTTGGTCTTGGCCGAGTTGGAAGTAAGGAGTCATGATACGCATGACCATGTCGTCGATGCGGGAAACATCGACGGTGCCGTTGTTGACAGCAGCAGTGACGTTGCCGCCAAAGTAGGAAGGGAGGCCAAAGTTCAGACCGTAGGCACCAAGTCCACCGGGCATGTTCATGTCCAGACCGGCCTCGATTGAGGCAACACCAGAGTGAGTGGCACCCCAGTCAGACATAATGTAGCCCTGGAAGCCAAGCTCAGTCTTGAGCAGACCGTTCTGCGAGGCAGAGTTCTGGCATCCGTAAGAGCCGTTGATGCGCTGGTAAGAGCACATGAAGCTGGCAGCGCGGGCCTTGGCAGCATTGGCAAAAGGCCACATGTAAAGCTCGTGCATGGTGCGGTCGTCAATGTTGGAAGAGAGAGCCGCCGTGGTCTGCTCGGTGTTATCGTTCTCGTCTTCGTAGAGCGGGTTTCGCATAATCTCCTGCTCGTTGCCAACCCAGTGCTTTGCGCAGGCTTGCACACCAGCATCCTGGATACCGTTGATGGTCTTCTCCATTGCCACACCGCTGAGGTAAGGGTCAGAGGAGAATCCCTCCCAGTTGCGGCCTGCATAGGCGGAACGTCCGAGAGGACCGGCGACGGGACCCAAGAAGATCTGAGAGCCCTTGGCCTTGAACTCTGCGCCCATGGCATGACCACGCTCGTACATGATGTCCTTGTCCCATGTGGCTCCTGCAGAAACACCAGCGGAAAAGACGCTTGCGTAGTCTGCAACACGGATTCCAAGAGGACCATCCTGAAGACACAGACCGGGGAAGCCAAGACGAGGAATAGCAACGATGTTGCCGACGCAAGGTCCGGCTTGACCAGTGACCATATCAGCCTTCTCCTCGAGTGTGAGCTGGGCTACGAAAGCTTTCGCCTTCTCAAGACCCATCTCCCAGCCACCAGCGCCGGTGATGTTTGCTGTAGAGTATTAGATTGGTTACGATCGAGCTTGGTAATGTATGATGACTTACGCGACGGGTAGACAGCTGGTGAAGAGCCATACTCGGTCAAGATGGTGGTGTTGAGCGGCTGTACGTACTCAAACGCATCTTCATCACGACCACCGGCTTCGAAGTTCTGAGCATTGACTGCTGCCAGGAGGACAGAGCCCGAAAGGACGGCCGAGACAAGAGAAGGTGCCATGATTCTGGATTGTCGAGGGTGAATCGAGTGCCTGGATGAACATTACCTTTGTGCACAGCAGTACTTATATACTGCTCTTCTCTCGGCGCATGCTCGTCCGCCCGGTGGCAGTCCTCGTCCCGATCAAAAGGCTAGAAGCCGATGATGAAGCCACCACCATGTACCGAAGTTTGCCCGTGCGGGTTGCGGAGTCTCCACACCTCCGTACCATACCAGTGTTGTCCTGGTATCAAGGCGGACGACGTCATGTCAAGGCTGCGTAGCGGTTGCCAAGAGGGCGGTCGGACATGTGCATGCGCGTCGGCAGATGGTTGTGGAGTAGAAAACGAAGAGGTCGGAGCCGGGAATATTGACTCGCGATAATTTGCGGGGATCGTGAGGTTGGCTCATGACTCGCGACTGGGAGTCGCCTTGCACTGCTGCAGACTGCAGTCGGACTGGCAGGGTTAGCTCCCTTGGGTCAAATCCTGGACGATGCTGCTACTACGTACATCCACGTGCCGTGAACCACAGCTCTGGTACTGGCAGTTTGATCGAAGAACGTTCGACGAAACAATCTCCACACAATACCGGTACACCTTCCATCGCGACTCGCGCGTATGGGGAAGTGCGCGAAACATGACAATGCACGACTAAGCTCCACGCCTCCAAGCTTGTCTGCTCACCCCAAAGCGGGGCGAGATCTTGGAATTCGTGTGTTGCCGACGAAAAGTCCCGAGAGACATCGGTAGGCATCGTCACGAGGCTCATGGGTAAGAGAAATTTTCGGTGCATGGAGCAAGCGTCGGACCCAGTGGAGGTATTCGGTAGGCGCTAGACCAGCAGAAGGAATGCGCCCTTGGGAACCCCAGCATCGTGACATGGCGATCGCTCCGGAGCTCCACAAGTCACTTCCCCGCAAACGTCCTGGCCCGAAGTTGAGCCTCAAGTCGGGCTTAGATCGTCAGGTCGAGTTGTCGACAGGATAGAAAATCTCGCATCGCGGTTGCCGAAAGCCGTTCATAGGTGCGGATGCTGCGTTGCAATTGCCCAGGTCCACGGGTGTGTCCATGTAGGGTGCATTCCGTGCGTAACGATGCAGGACTTGATCGCTCAGCTGGCGGCTCTGGGCCTAGAATACGAACTGATTGAGTGTGTATGAAGCTGAGCTCCAAGTACCAAGATGAGAACGTGACCTGGATTCGTAAGTATGCGCGGACGAATAACCCTGCATCAATACAGGGAATGTCCTTCCAGCACAAGCGCCCACGCAGCAACACGAAATGGTCAGGGCTTGCACTCAAGACTTTTCGGTATTTTACGAGATTTAGCCTTCCATAGCTTTGCACTTGACAATTGCTGGTACCCAGGTTCTGTTCTCAAGCTATGCTTAGTAAAGGAGTCTAGGTATAGAGTAGACTTTGGATTTCCATACAGATTTATCAACTACAGCAACCGGAATAAGACCCTCTCAATGTGTCTGGACCAACGACAGCTATATGGGTAACTGGGGTAGAAAACGGAAGAGAGCTATCTTATACTCAGTCCGTTAAGCAAAGATTGCTGCTCTGGTCGTCTGGTTTGGTGATGTGTGGTGGGCGAGACGGCTGATATGGGCGCTAAGGTGAGGCCGATATTGCTCTTGATGATGTTGTGTTTGCTCACGAAGGTCAAAAGGCTGAGTGTCGGTTTGCGGATAGTATAAGAGCACGTCGACTGCTGTCTTCGAAACTGAAAGCTTGAATGTATGCGCCTGAACATGCCTAGGAACAAGACCGAACATCAAGCACTGTCGGAGATATGCAGCAACACGTGCAAAGATAATAGATATGTAATGCCTGAGAGGCGTATCAAGTCTCCATCGTGCCGGCAACCTCGTGTTCTCTGGTAGAGTGTGTGGTGTCGCGCCAGGAACGATTGACCAGACCAAGAGCTGTGCTGTCGCGGTGCCTCGGCTAACTGCGGTCTATCAACGACGAGGTCGCCGCGCAAAGCGTCGGCGCTACAGCTCCAGACTTGAGTATCTCTGGGCGAGAAGACTACGGAACCATCGCAGTCGCACAGACAGTATTCTCTACACGATCGAAATGCCCCTCCCCCGCCTCAACCCCCGTGTCCTACACCGCGCCGTTGGAATTCGCGGCTACGCAACCGCCCCGGCCCCGGCTATAAACGTCACAAACGTCCCGGCACCACACTGTGGAAGCATACGAATACTCTCACTCAACCGGCCCGCGGCACGCAATGCGATATCACGGCAATTGCTCACGGAGCTGACGCAACAAGTGAACAGCCTACACAATGAAGGGGACAAGGGATCAACGCGGGCGTTGATATTGGCAAGCGATATCGAGACAAGTTTCTGCGCGGGCGCGGACCTCAAGGAGAGGGCTACGTTTACCCAGGAGGAGTATGTTCATTCTTTACGGCGGCCACATGGGACGAGCGACGGCTAACAGATGGCAGCACATCCAACTTTCTCACAACACTACGAGGAACATTCGCGTCGATATCGCAATTACCCATCCCCACCATATCTGCTTTGGCAGCACCGGCATTCGGCGGCGGCCTCGAGCTCGCCCTCACCACACACATGCGCGTCTTCGCCTCTACCACGACCGTCGCCCTCCCCGAGACGCGTCTCGCCATCCTTCCTGGCGCAGGAGGAACATATCGTCTCCCCGCTTTGATCGGTCTCTCACGCGCACGAGACATGATTTTGACAGGCCGCCGTGTTGCCGCGCCAGAAGCCTATTTCCTGGGACTGTGTGACCGGTTAGTAGAGATCACGGCAGAGGACGTGCAACAAGAAGGGGCTGCGCGGAAGAAGGTCCTGAATGAAGCGATTAGATTAGCAAGGGAGATATGTGAAGGTGGGCCGATAGCGATCAAGGCCGCGCTTCAAGCGGTTGAGGGATGCGCATTGGGCGAGAAAGCTGAGAATGCCGCATATGAGCTTGTGGTTAGGACAAGGGACAGGGACGAGGCACTTGTCGCGTTCAAAGAGAAGAGGAAACCTGTGTTCAAAGGAGAATAGAAGAATGTCAGTGGTGCTCGTCAATCGCTGAGATATGTGCTTCTGGCCTGAGTTGATGTGCTTCATTCATGCCTGGTACAGTTCTGCGATACATGCTGCCTCACATCTTGCTCTTGATCTCCTCCAGCAGCTTGCTCAACTCGCTCTTATCCGCCTCCTTAGTTGGCCATTCGATCCCGAGACCCTCCTGTCCGTTCGGCTTTGGGATCAAGTGGAAGTGTACGTGATCCACCTCCTGATGGGCAATCCTTCCATTGTTCTGTAGGATGTTGTAGTCTTGGATGTTCTGTGCGATAGCAATTCGCTTTGTGACTGAGAGGATTTCGGCGAGCTGGTCGTCGGGTATGTCGTGGAGCTTTGCGCCGTGATGTTTGGGGATGATCAGCTAGGCGGTGCATTAGTACTAGCTGACTGGTCCTGGGATAGTCTAGGCATCATACAGAATGGCCTTTGCTCAAGGGACCGATGTCAAGGAAAGCAAGTGTCTTCTCGCTCTCGAAGATCTTCATCGAAGGGATCTCGCCTAATCCTTCTGTTAGCCATTGTCGATTGAGAGAATAGTCAAGCTAAGAGGTTATTACCCTTGATGATCTTACAAAAGATGCATGCAGCAGAGGACATTGTGGTACTCGTGGAATAGATAGTTGGTTGGTTGGTACGGGTCTGGTTGGTAAATGAAGATGACGCAGCGAGCTTATGCTTTGAGAGCGAAGTGGGGTTGACCGAGGGACATGTGGGGTAGCTATTTGGCGGGATGGTTCCGCCATGCTTCACATGTATATTCCCATCACAATTGTGTGCTCATAAATACTACTGCGTTGTCTGTAGAAATATTCATCCTCTCAAGTATAGCTAGCCAGTGTTCTCGCGGGTCATGACTTTGACCACTTCCACGAGGGGCACTCAAAGTTCGCGTAGCATCTGAACTCGTTGCTCAATCCTTTGGCGTGCTTGATCTCGTAATCGGTCGTCTTGGTTCCTACTTTCCCATAAAGTTTGTCTGTGATCAGGCTCTCCATACGTTCTCCAGTGCAGACAATGAGACGCAGAGAATCTTGCGTCCATGACTTAGCTAACCATCGTACAGTCAAAGCAGCTATGCGCTGTTAGCGACGTCGAACCCAAGGTTGTTGGACGCATATAATGAAAGTACCTTTGGTTTGACAATCTTGACTTAGGAATGGCGGATCACAAATGATGACATCGAACGAGGCCTTCATCTCAGCTGGTAGTTGGATTGCCTTTTCGAAGTCGTAGCGCACAAACTCCTTGAACACGGCAAAGCGCTCGTCAAACTCCAGCAACTTGATCTGTGGCCGGCACTTGACTTCACCCGAATTCTAATGAAGTCAGCACTTCCCCTCTCGTGCATCCATATTACTCACAAGTAGGTTCTTCAGCTGGATGAAAGCGCTCGGAGCAGACACGACTGCTATTCTTGTCGCATCTGTCGCACCATCCAGAAGTTGTCGCGCAAGCACCATAGCGGTCTCGTCGCTATACCAGAATTGACTTGCATTCCAATCTTCCGTGAAGGCATCCATGGACAATTTCCCTTCGAAGTCATCCTCGGCTTGACCTTTTAGTTCTTCAAACTGTTTTTGTCGTGCATCCCGCTCGCCATAAAATTCTTTCAGGGCGGCAAGAGCATCACCGGAAAGCTGTCTTCATTTGTTAGCATTCGGGCTGCTATCAGCTGGTAAGACCTACGGCATCTCATCGTCTTGTTCGATTGGCGCCATGATGATTTTGACCCGAAGCAGGTTACCGCACAGTGTACCTGAAAAGTGATAGTTTGTCGGAGTCGCATTCCACTATCGATAACAATGTGCCTCGGTAGTGATGGCGCAGCTGTAACCTGAGGTCAGAGCTACCATGCGCCCGCAATTGCGATGGCTGTCAGCTACCTCTAGCACACGCGCACTCTACTCAAAGATGGCTGAATCTTTGGTATCGCTTCCCGAGGTCGAGCAGGTCAGCGATCGGGTTATCAGAGTCCTCGGCGGCAACCCCAGCAAGGTGAGCGCCGTTATCATCTAAGGAACGGCGCGATCTGACAAAGCTTAAGTTCACGCTGCAAGGTACATGCGTTCGCAATCTTGCGGCCAATATGTTCTAAGTAAACTAGGCACGAACACGTACATAGTCGGTCGCGGCGCATCACGACTGCTCATTGACACTGGCGAAGGCAAACCACAATGGATAGCCTCGATCAAATCGCTCCTTTCAAAGGAGAACATTGCCATCGATAAAGTGCTATTGACACATTGGCACCACGACCATATCCAAGGCGTCCCCGATCTACTCGCGCACTCCCCCGACACGAAGGTCTACAAGAACAATCCGCATGATGACTGGCTCGCGATAAGTGATGGGCAGAAGTTTGAGACGGAAGGCGCGACCCTACGTGCTTTCTTCTGCCCAGGACATACCACGGACCACACGGCTTTCGTGTTGGAGGAAGAAGATGCCATGTTCACGGCGGACAACGTATTAGGTCAGGGTACAGCCGTGTTTGAGGATCTAGCAGCATACATGAAGAGCCTCGACGCCATGTCGACGCAATTCAGGGGTCGCGCATATCCCGGGCATGGGCCTGTCATCGAAGATGGCCCATCAAAAATCACTGAATACATCAAGCACCGCAAGCAGCGTGAGAAACAGGTGTTGGATGTACTAGCGGAGGGCCAAGGCATGGGTTCTATGGATATTGTGAAAGTGATTTACAAGGACTACCCAGAGAACCTTTGGGAACCGGCGGAGAGGGGGATACGCCAGATTCTCGATAAGCTGAAGCAGGAAGGCAAGGTGGGCGGTGAGAAACTGTGGGTGCTTAGTGGGAAGAGCAGTCTTTAGATGTTCCAATGACACATAGTTTGACATGGCTGAATTTTGATAAGCGCCCCAGTGACTTGACTGCGCCCCACCACACCCATCTTTATGTACAATGTAGGATGACTCAGTTCATCCCGATGTTGTCGTGAATGGGCAGCAACAAACTTCGGATATAAATATAATAAATCCAATTTTACTCATCAAACCATTGGTCGTGATGCCAGAGTGGTTAATGGGTTAGACTTGAATTCTTCATTCAGTTATCTAATGGCTTCGGCCTCGCAAGGTACATGCACCCGTTCGATCCACAGGATAGACGAATGCTGACAAATTGGCGAAGTTCGAATCTTGGTAAATAATACTCATTCTTGCCATGCGCAGACGTGAATACTAACAGATCTCAAAGTTCACGACGATATGCTACTCTCAGAGAAGCAATACTTTTTTTGCATCTTTTGAATGCTATAATCTGGGCAGTATATCCAGCATTTGCTGCTAGCATTCCTATTTATCTGCCTGCGCTTTGTTTTTGTTTATTGCTTCTGCGATGCTTTGGTGCACTGCGGGAGGCGTCGCGCTAAAATAGCACGCAGGCGCATTCTATGATCTCTTCGACATTTGTTTCCTCGTCGTTCCTTGCATGCTCTACTGCAAGGCTGTCTCATGTACATATTGTGAAACGCTCGAGTTAATATTGGTAGAGTAAGGTGAAGTTCAACTTTGCACCAGCACTATTTATTTCTGGGTAGTTTTATTGGTACCTAGGTACAGTTGTGTTAAGCCTCCAACAAGATGTCTACGTCTTCCCATGATGAATCACCGCAACCTGGCTTCCGAAGTTTTTGCCCCCAGAGATCAGGTTGAGCGACCAGGAACTCGCAAGAAAGATCTCGTACCTCGCACGACCTAGGTCCATCGACGTCGCCCTTTCTCCACCTCGACGTCAAGCGTCTAGATACCATTTTGTATGGCAGCCAAGGCATCGAGGACGTTCTTCCAGTCTTCCCCAGTCAGCGACTTTCGTTGGAGAACGACGAGCGAAATGGCCTTGTCCCAGGCCTTCGCGTGGCGCTTTGCGGTGCTGTTCTCGTCGGAAGCGAGGATCCACCGAGTGAGTTTATGAAAGGTGACATTCGGAGAGGACGAGGAGTAAGCCGCCGTGTTGTAACCGAAGCTCTTGATACCGTAACCACCCGTTCCGGCAAGATACTGTCCGTATTGCCTTATAGCGTCGCCCAATTTATCGTTTCCAATTGGGGCAGCTCGCAACAGGATCGAACGTTGGATTAGAACGGCAGCCCAAATAAACTTCTCGGTGTCGTCATAGCCAAAACCGGGGGCCTGGCTGGCCCAGTTGCAACTGCGATAGTTAGCGATGTACTTCGAAAGATGATTGTGTCCGAACGTACCCTTCCCACAGATCTGCAATACCCGGCTTGGCGAACTCGACTGGTTCTAAGTAGAACCATTTGACTGTCTTTCTAGCAGTGGGAAGACACCCAAGAACAACTGGTCGGAACTCTTCTTGGTATCCGGTGCTGTATCGTGCGCGGACAGCAGAGCGACGGCCGGGTTGGGCTTGCCTGAAGGCATCCCAATTGTTAAGGTTCTTGTCAAGCTCAGGACCCACGATGATCAGCCCTCTCTTGAAATGACGAGTCCAACAGGAGAAATCATGTTCTTTGTCGAATATGGCCAGCTTCTTTCGATCGCAAGGGTGATAAAGCTCATGGTGGGTGCTCGTAAGTTCCTTGACCGCAGCCAAGTTTTCCGTTGTACCAAGATCATTCACTGATGTGATCACACCAGAAATCCCAAGCGCGCTGACCAAGGTCGCTCGGAGGCTGCCTCCCGTTTTCCACAGCCATTCGCTCGGCTTGTATACCATTGGCGGATGCGCGACACCAACAAAGTCGGCTCTGCTGCCCTTCTCTTCTCCAGCCAATTTCAGCAAGCCTCCCCACTCAATCCTTCCATCAGGAGTGAGCGGATGACGCGAGAAGACCCTTTGCTTGCCGTCAGAAGTGATCCAGTATTTGGGAGTACCGTCAGCGCCAGATCCGACGCTGACACCGGCTGGGATGGGTCCATGGTTCATACTGTCCGCCTCGTACTGGAGGTACCACTTTGGTGGGGTCTTAGGCGGCATGGTACCTAGGTAGGTAGTATTGGTGATGGTAGTGGTGTTGGCACTGAAGATAGCAGATGTGAAACCTCCAAGGTTGGAAGTCTCTTGTTGTTTCGATGGCAGTTGTGGTAAGGATTGGTCAGCCGACTGGAAGCTTGAGAACCTTGGGAGTACTTGGGTGGGTGAGCAATCCTTGTGGTAGGGCTCTGTTAAATACGAGCCCGACAATGTTGATTAGCAAACGAAACAGGACCTACCTATATCAGTGCAGGTGACTCCACGGTGACGCGCCGAGCTGACGTCGTTTTCTGCTCAGATGAGGAGCGCTTGCTTACCGACTCTGTTTGGCAAACAGATGGTACCTAGGTAACAATGACTCCACATTACGTACTGCAGGGGATCTTGGAGAGCGGTCAGCTGGGCTCTGGGGGTGAGTGTGAAGTGGCTCTGCGTCAATCGAGCGCGGGACGTTATCTAGCAATCGGGAAACGGTGGCGACTTTATCGTTAGTACAAGTCTGGTATTAGAGCTATCTGTGGATGTACCTAGCTATATTGGTAGCGCGATAGGGAGGGTATCGATGACCTGATTGCCTTCCTAGGTAGTGATGTCAGGGGTCGTCTTACGCGTCAGTGGGTAGGTAACAGCTCAGACTCACTGTCTTTCCGCTCACTGCGCCCTTTGTTTGTTGTGATCATGCTAGCCGCTTGCTGTCACGCTCCCGCGGCGTGCGATCACGCCTGACGCTAGTTTGGGTCAGGCCAGTGCGCACGAGGAAGCTTCCAAAAGGTTCCTCACTCACGATAGCTACTTAAGTACACGGATCGCCATTCACTTCGCTAGATCAGACTTGCACACCCTCCACTACCAGTCTCAACGGCCTTCTTGCTCTACTTCCAATCTTCCCGAGGTCCTGATTCGACAAGTAACATTCAGACATGGTCTGGCTCCAGAGTGAGGATGCTTCGCTCCTCTCGGACACCAGGATCTGGGACATGATTCGAGATGGGCGACAGACATCGGATTTGCCACTACCGACATTTGGCTTCCGGGTGATCAAGGCTTTCACCACTCCAACACCGCTAAAGAGTCGATTTTTGCCAGGTATGCAGGGGCAAGTCCTCTACGGTAAGCACGATCCACATTGATGTACGAATATCACGATATATACTGACAACGTGCTTGCATCAGGTCATGGCGACAAAGTACGTGTGATGGTCAAAGACCTGTTCGACGCCAACGGGGACTTTCTCAACGACTGGATCTACCGAGACTGTATTGAGATTGGCACCGAGCCCTATGGTACATGGAAAATGGACCTATGCAACGTTCCCCGAACGCGTTCGAGATTCACAGCAGAAGAAATTGGCGAACTCAAGAACCCGAATCGCCAGCATCTCGCGCGCGGCATCAGCACGTTTCTCACGAAGCTGGCAGAGACAAGGCCGGAATGCGTCACCGAGGAGACTCACAACAGACTTGGTGGCGTATCAGGCAATAAGGTTCTGTGGATCACTAACGTGGTCATCAACGGCATCGAAAAGGCAGGTCTCCTCAGTGTGTTGAACGACCCCCAATTCACCATTCGAGCGATCCGGGAAAACTCCAACCTCGATTGCAAGGATCTCGCAGCTCAGGGCGAAACTGGCTTTTATCTGCGCATATATTCCAAGGACAATCCGGGTCAGTCAAAGAAACACGGCTCGGTGTACATTGGTCAGGCCAAGGACCTTCACCGACGCTGCGTCGATTGGGGCCGATCAGGACAAGCGCACGACGACTTGATTGAAGAGTCGAACACCATCGAAATGCGCACCATATGCCGCCTCGACATGGAGTTCTATCAAGACCACAAGTACATCATCGAGCAACTGTTCGCTTCGCTGTTCCAAACATACAAATCAGGACTTGCAAATCAAACAGTACGCCCCAAAGGCGGTCGAGACAACTACCATCTCAGGGCCTACTTGGAAATGGACAAGGTTGCCACCGTAGCCGCCAGCGAGAGCGGATGGACTGGCGCAGTGCAGAGGGACAGCTTTTGGAATGGTTCATTCTCCGCATGCGAAGGCCTCAACTACCAATCCCCCATATCAGAAGCACCAATGTACGAGCCAGGAGTTTGGCTTGAGTCTCGTGGTTTCAGACAAAATTCGAATGACCCAGGCACTTCGTTTCCGATCTCGAACTTTACTTCCCAGGTGCCAAAGAAGATGACGGTTCAAACTCCAGGTGCAAAGTCGGCTTCGAAGAGCAAATCTTTCATCATCTTTGACCTGAAAACCGATTACAAGTCCGAAACGAAGCAAGGATACACATGGCGCACTGCTAGAACGCTACCGAAAGACTTTTCCTCCGACGGCGTGGAGTGGCCAGCTGAGAACTCCTTCTTCACTGTCACGTTCGAGGTTCGCACAGATTGGAAGCCTCATCCCTTCTCTTGGGCTCGTTTACCACTTATCGGTCCATTTGAAGATTGGGATCGAGCCAACAGCTGGGCTATGTCAATTAGCTGGGTTGATGCGTCTGGACAAGATCGGCTTAAGTATCTCCATTGCGAACGCCCTTATATGATGGTGAACGAGGATTCTATGGGTAGCATCCAACCCTATGGGCAGGGTATCGAGGTAAGAACTCCAATTGAACTTTAACGCGGCAAGATCGATCCGAGCTATACTAACTTCATCTTCCAGGTTATCCACTGGCTGTTCAACGAGAGAATCGCAAGTGGTCAAAAACATCGTTGGATTCAGACGCCCCCTATGGCCCATGTGAAAGTCATCCAAAACGATTATGTCCGCCAGCTAATTACGCTCAAAGCTGGCAAAGGAGTCACTACTACTGCGCCCATACCCAGTAATCGTAAGGACCCCCAAGTCATCCTAGAAGAGATGGAGGGCAAGGGTGTACATGGAGACTTTGGCCTTCACAACGTAGGCCTCACGTTGGGCCAAGCCAAGAAGGCTACTCCAGGCAAATGGGGCAGTAGAAAGAAGTGTGACTGCTGCCTATTCTATTCTCGTGGTACAGGCTCTAGCGCTGAGGGATTCGGCGGCTGCTTCTTCGTGGATGGAAACACAGTCTGCGAGGGTTGCCGCAAGATCTATGGACGACCAGCCTGCTCTTGGACTCTTGGAACCCCGGTTAATGTCGTTGAAAACACGTTCAAAGCCCTCGCATCCATCGGAGACACCGCGAGCGCGCTTAGAAGGAAGGCTCTTAATGGGCTTGAGGGCTCAACAGGCGATTCGTTGTTAGCACCTGATCCAGAGATGATGGAGATTGACCAGGGAGATGATGAGTCTGAGGCTGAAGTTTGGGAAGGACCTTAAAGTCTACGTGGTGTTCAAATCGTAGCATGATGTAGGCCTTCATTCCAGGAGTGGATATGCCTTGAATGACATGGTCTTCTTTGTATGTACTGCAAACATGCTCATTAGTTAGGTAGCTCCTTTTTGAATCTCTTCTCTTATCAGCTTGCGCATGTCATGCTTAGCCTCTGAGCTACGCCTTGTATCCTCAAATCATGTCAGGCTGCCTACTACACTCGCTTTATGATACGGCTAAGCGGTATCCTGCACGCCGCTGTAGTGGCCATACTCTGGTATCAGTTATCACAATGTGCTTCTGTTATGTAATTGCTTGAAATCTGCTCAATATTAGTAGCCAGTTGCCGCATTTCATCTTTCACACACTTAGTCGTTACTTTGCCTTTCTTCTCGTCTTCGCTGTCGCGAGAGCTGCGACTAAACCTTTCGGCTTTCGCTTGGGATTACGAAGTCGCGACAATGGGAGTTGCGACAGTCTAACGGGTTGTGTCAAATGCTTGAACAGCTTTGAAGCTATCATGCTGCTTCAGTGTTGGGCCGTGCCGTAGAGGCTCACCCATAAGGAGCATCGCTCTCATCGCAAGGCATATAGTTTCGCAATTCGCAATGCCAGGACGACTAAAGAGATGCAGTGCAAGTCTGATTGCACTGCCGTTGCTTTGCGGACCTTCTCGTCGAGACGAGGAGGGTGCGCTTTCCACCTGGGTGCTCCTTCCATCCTTGAGCGTCAACACAACACTTGGCGCTCCAAACTTAACAAACCTGCAGGTGGCAGCTCACTTCATCTTCAGCTATCGACGAGATGAAGTGAGTTTTCGCCTGTCTAGGTGTCTTGGATGAGTACAATGGGTGAGTGTATTGGAGCTAACATGTGTGTAGATTCAATACCACCACCACCTTCGCGGGCAACCGCACCCCGCAGCACCTCTCGCCGGTGTTCACACAGGTGGGGGAGGAAGAAGCCCCCCCGCCTGAATGGGACGACTCTGTGTTCGTCGTGCGTCCCAGCACACCTCCACTTCAGCTGTCGCGACCCTCCCTGCCTTTCACGCCTCCGCCAAAGAAGAAGGAAGGCGAAACCGCAGATCCCGAGGAGGGAGGCAAGGGCAGTGAAGTGGAGGTGGTGCCGAACAAGAAGCGACCGAGGAAGGCGAAGGGGGATAACGCCCCGCCCAAGAAGAAGACCAAGGTACGTTCTAGGAAGACGAATTCAGGTGACACTTCCATTGACATTGTATCTTCAACTTACTAGACCGCCGAGAAGAAGGGCAAGGGCAAGGATAAGGACAAGAAGGAGAAGAAAGAGAAGGAGAATGTGGCGCCGGAGTGAGTGTATATATATTTTTTTGGTTTTTGGTGAGCCCCCATTGGGGCTTCTGCACATTGAGGATTTCGGCATCCTCGACAGCTCTTCCCTACTATCGTGCGAACAGTAAGTGCAACTCATCACCCTCTTCAGGGGCACTACTGACACGAGATTAGTTAGCGGACCAGCCCACACCAAGACCAGACCACAGTCTGAGTCAAAGGCGCACTCTACTGTGAGCCGACGTCACCTACCGCTTGCCGCCTTATTCGAGCTTCCACGAATACGAATGCCACTCAACGACGGTACCGACCCTCGTTCATCGTCTCGCTCATCGTCTCGCCGAGAACAACAATTGCTGAAGCCAATCGACCCGGCACTCGATCTCTGCTCATCGCTCATCCCAGTGGTACTGCGATGATGCTTCATGTTGTAGCCCGAAAGGATGGCGTCGACCCGTCTTCTTCGCAGCGCGTCCGTGGACTCAGTGGCCACGTCTAGGAACACCCGTTCCGCCTGCAATGGCCTATATCCAGGTGTCCAAAATCGTTGAAGAAGGCCATCCACCGCTGCCAGTTCGGCTGCTAGGAAGGCTTTGTCGTTCATCGTCCATGGTACTGCGGTAACGCAACGCAGAGGAGCAACTCACAACTTCCGCAATCCATATGTACCCATCCAAGCAGGTCCTCTCGAAAAGAGAAGTATCGTCAACACAAGAGCTGCGATGACGCAGAGCAACGACGAGCTACTCACGACTCCCGCAGTACATCACCATCCCATACTCGAAGGTACTCCTCAAATGAGAGAGATCGCAATCATCAGACTCTGCTCATCGCTTCCTCAAACCCTACAACTGCGTTCTCCCCATTTTGAGCACCGTGGCCGAGACGACTCATATACTACAGCCGGCTGTATAGCTGCCACTTTCGCAAAAGGAGCTTGCGGGGGCTTCTGCACATTGATGGCGGTGCGGTCGACGAGACACAATCGAGGAGGGAGATTGCGGCGCCGGCGGGGGCTTCTGCACATTGATCTTCTGAGCAAGTGGAGAAACGAACACCAGCAAGAGCTTGTTGAGGATATTACGGAGACTGGGCGCATGGTCTTCGTGGCGAGCATGGAAGGGTTCTACGAGCTTAACCCATTCGAGTTGGACCTACCCCGCCGACGACCACAGTACTGCCGTGACACGCCAGACCCCTGACAAACAATCTCATGGCTATCGCAAGCATACCGTATACTAAAGTACAATCTTAATAACCAGCCTAAACTAGGACTAGACCGTAGTCAAAGTTAAAGGCGCACTCTATTGTGTCTGGAACCTACCGCAGTCACTCTCGTGACTAAGAACGATACACTCTGGGACGGCGGCTGAGAAGATTCCTACAGCTTCGAGAACGTTAAGGCGGGGAGTGATATTGTACCGCGGTCTGATACCTAGCATGTCAGCGTTGATAGCTTCTACACCCGCTCTATCAATTACAATAGTCACAAGACCGAGACTATTCTACTTTGACAACAGTTATAATAACAGCAATACTAGCATATGAATTAATCGAATCTTGTTCAATACGTCGAGTTACACGCCTGTAGAGAGTAGCATCTTTTTTGTGTCGTTGTTATTGAGGTTAGGATGAATTGGTGGAGTTTTGACGCATCCTAACCACACAACCTTTTGCGCCGCCACGCCACTTTGACTTGTAATCTTGAAGGAGTTACCGCTTATTGCGCTTCAAAACATAAACACTGATAACACTTCAAGGTTCACAACGAAAGTCCGTCTTCCCAGAATATCAATTCCTCCGGGGCTACCGAGGTCTTTTTGCACTTTCCAAGAACCCCTTACGCTGCTGTTTCCATGGTATACGATCTTCTTCGTCCAGATTTGCTTACCGTCCTCTGCTTTACTCTCGTTAATTTTCTTTTTGACACCTTAGTGCATCACGAGATGAGACGACGCAACGAGACAGCAAGCCACCGATCTACGAAGACTGAGCATGCTCACGCACCGTTCTCGTTTACCCTATTCCATTACAGAGTTTCTTGATACATGCTTGAACAAGTACTCGCTATCCGTAGAGGTGACTGCATAGGTCGTCTACACATGCAAGGACTCTGGGGGTGGCAATAATTCGTGTCGCGTTTCTAAGGTTTGCTGCATACATCGTACTATAACTTAGGAAGTATGTAGTCTCTAAGTCAATGTATACTTCTAATAAGAAGATGATTCTAATAAAATTTCCTTAGAATGCGACACAGATTGTTGCCTCCCCTGATGGTGCTTGGGTCCTCGCTTACTCAACGCCCAGCTGGCGTTCTTTCTCGGACCCTCTTCTTTTCCAATACCAAATAGAGAAGAGCACCCAAACCATATATTAGTGTGCTTTTGTTTGTCGAAGACGCGGACTTCAACTTTGCACGACACATCCACCGTTTAGAGTCCAGAAGGTTTCTACAGTAACTCCTTGATTATCTATTAGCGCGCATGAATCGTTGGTGGAATAACAGAACTAGTTGCTTGTGGCTACCAGGAGAAACTCTAGATACCTTTAGAGTACCGTTTCCTATCAACGCTTGTTCCTTCCTTCCATACTGCCAACGCGTCCGACATCGCGCCTCAACAAGGCTAGCCCCACGTCCATCATTAGATAAGTAGAGGTACCCAGTTTGCTTCCAGCACCGCCCAAGTGCTCTAGCTCTGCATTCAATCGTCACCATACCTTCTACGCAGCTCTCATTGTACCGACCCACTACTTCCATCTCCCATATACGCACCGATACTAATCCAGAAGCCGCTCAGCGCTATCGCCAGCGCCCTAGCATTAGGACTGGGGAAGAAAGAGACCAACGAAAGCCCTACTAGAATATACAAGCAAGCCGCCGCATTCAGATATGAATCAAGCAAGCAGTATGCCACCAAGCAAGATGCCCACGTAAACGCGATTGCAGAGAAGATCGACTCAGATGAGCATCTACGTTTGTTTCAATAATATAGTCGTAGCAATGTATAACTTTTACCTTTAACATTTATCTAATCTCATACAACTTTGTACCCCAAAAGTAGCTTAGAGCGAATTGTTGCTCGATAAGTGTGCTGTATCTACCAAAGACATAGACTTTCAAGATACATCTACCTTGCAGAGTCTAGCAGGTTGTCGCGGTTTTCTGGAGCTATAAGAGTAAAGTTCTCGTTACACTGTACGTAGCCGGCACATGTGTAAAAGACTACTCTAAACTTCTCGCAACAGTGTATATACAACAAACACCCAGATAAAAAAAATTAGAATTTCTTGTTGGAATGTATACATCCCGCACACGTAGAGAAAGGGGTTCGGAAGATAAAAAGGTCTTGTAGTAGCCTAGTGAGATTTGACATACATCAAGAAATGGTGCATTAGAGATACCATCAACTTCGTCTCAGTATGTAGATGACGCATCCATGACACCGACCCATGCTCAGGTCTCTTCGACTTCCTTTGCGGGGAAACTCACGTATGTACCACCAGATCGCAGCCGAAGAGCTAGAGAGAAAGGTCGCAGATCGAGAAAGGGAAGCACGGATGTGCAGGGGAGAATATGAGGCACTGGCAGATACGGTGTCTACAACTTCCTCTGCGAGTAAACCATGACGCCTATCTCCACCCATACTGGCAGTCAAGGAGCCTGAGGCAGAAATCATGACTGCTGATAGATCAACAGTGGATAAGATCTAGCCGCATATCAATGGACAGTTTGACATGCGCTCGAAAGCTTATGAGTCGAGGATTGGTTTGAGTGACAATTTCTTCTCTTTCGTATTCAGCCATTTTAAAGGCAGACAAGGTGAGTGTGGCCCATGTGCCAAGAAATGTTGTATGCGTGGGTGAAGGAGGCAGTGGAAGCTCGAGGCACGTTCCAATCGGAGAAACCCCGGCATCCTTCCCCAAAAGTACAATCGCATAGTCGCGACCTGCATCAAGCTTCACATCCAACGCCAGAAAACCGCAACCCCCAAATCCTTAACCTCTCCCACACGCGCACGACGCGCTAATTGCTTCAAAATGGCCGCAGCAGAAGCCGAAGTCGCAGACGCGCTCTACAACCTCCGCCTGAGCATCAGGGCCAGCGCAACACCCATCCTGACCACGAGCGCCGAACCCACACCCGCCGATACCGTCGCAGACCTCGCCGTCGCAACACATGTCTCCTTCAACACCGATTCGGGCGACCACCGAGTGTTTGCGCTCAGCACGCCGACGCGGTTTGCGCCAGATGGCAAGGCGGTTGACTTGCGCAGCTGCTACTTCGCGTGGCTGAACAAGGACGCCTCCGTTACCGACTACTTCGCCGCTGTTCAGACGCTCAACGAGGAGTTGCCGAGCGGTGCGGGAGGCAGCGTGCAGAACCTCACCTTTGCGCAGAAGATTGAGCTCATCGCTTGGTTGAGTGGAGAGACGGAGAGTAGTGATAGCATTGCTGCTATAGATGGAGGCGCGCTCAGTGCTGCCGCTGGCGATGCGGCGGCTATTGCAGGCGGCAAGGGCGTCCCAGTCGATGGAGGAAGGGGTGCCAAAGTAGGGGCAGCAGGCAAGATGGTGGATGCGCGGTTACTGCAGATCTACGACGGGGAGAGGAAGATGGGAGATCACAACAGCGTGTTGAGGGGATCCAAGAACGTCGTACGTGTCCCCCAGCTCTCAGATCCTCTTACTGCCACAGACTGACACTTTGCAGGACTTCTCGCCTTACCGCAAGATCGCCAGCACATTCCTCCGCTCACGCCCCGATGCCAACAAGCTACCCGCTCCCCAGCCCGCGCTTGTCGCAAATCTCCAGAAACGACCTCAACGCCGCCTACAACCCATCATCCTCCTCTCACCGTCCGCCTCCTCTCTCCTGCGCACCTCGAACGCAAAGACGTTCCTAAGCGACGGTGTCTTTGTCCCACCAAACACCACAGATTCGTCCAGCACATCCGCCTCTGCGAACATGATACAAATTCAGCGTCTCCTCCCGTCCATCTCCTCACAACCCCTGACTTTCATCTGCGTTGATTCCACTGCCAGTTTCAAGCCCACCTACTGGAGTCGTGTGGTCGCCATCTTCACTACTGGCCAGCTCTGGCAGTTCAAGAGCTACAAATTCACCCAGCCTGCAGAGTTGTTTGCAAACTACCCGGGTATATTCGTCGGCTGGAGTTCGGAAGAGCCGCCGGAGACGGTGAAGCAATTGGGTAGGGGCGTGCTACCCGTGGGCGTAGACAAATGGACAGGCAGTGAAAAGGGCAGATGGAGGGACAGAGAGGTTGTCGAGAGGATCTGGGGCAGAATTGAAGAGGGCATGCGAAAGAGCGGCTGGACGAGAGACGGACCGGGACTGGCCGGGCAGCAGGGGCGGTAGGACATGATGCTTCGTGCGCCTTGCTCAAAGGGGGATTTGTATCGATATGTGACGGAACTCTATCTTGGGGTCTTGGGTGTTCTGGCGTTGATGCGTTATGCATAGTCTGCGAAGTGCGATATACCTCAAAAGCTGGTTTCGCGCATGCCTACTCGGGCAAAAGAACAAATCAAAGCAAAATACCGAAATCTTCACATCGCCCAGGTGCAGTGCAGTCAGGTGCAAAAGGTAAAACATTCATATATGTCATTTCATTTCACATGATATCTTGGTCCCAACAGAAACACCCTAATTCAAGTCCGCAGAGCAGCCGCTCGCCAGATTATACAAAACTCCAAAGAGATTGACTAAAGTCCGACTTTTACCCTTGTAATCTACCATCTACCACTCCAGTGGTTCGGTAATCGCCTCTCCCCGGTTGGTCTTTGGCACAGGTTGCGCCTGCACCTTGACTGGTCCGCGTCCATGTCTCTTCAGGAAGCCACTTCCATCTAGCCAAGGCCAGACAGCTGTGCGCTTCTGCTCATGCTTCTCAATCTTGTCAACGTTGGCCATGGTCAGACCAATGTCATCCAGTCCGTTGACAAGGCAGTGTTTCCTGAACTCCTCAACATCGAACTTGGCAAGTTCGGTTCCGTCGGCAGAGCGGATGACTTGGTTGGGTAGGTCCACCTCAATCTCCTTACCAGCGTTTGCCTCGTCGGCGACGCGTTGTAGGACAGCGGTGTCGGTAATTCGGATAGGAAGCATACCGTTCTTGAACGTGTTATTGAAGAAGATATCGCCAAAGGAGGGGGCGATGATGCATTTGATACCGAAGTCGAGGAGCGCCCAGGGTGCGTGTTCACGACTTGAGCCGCAGCCAAAGTTGGGGCCTGTGCAGACTAGAATCTTGGAGTTGCGGTAAGGTTCCTTGTTCAGTACGAAAGATGAGTCCTCCTTGTTACTGCCGGCCTCGTAGCGCCAGGCATGGAAGAGAGCACTACCAAGACCAGATCGCTTGATGGTCTTGAGGAACTGCTTAGGGATGATAGCATCAGTATCAATGTTCGCTACGTCCATGGGTGCTGCGTATCCGCGGAGGGTCTCGAACTTAGGCATCCCGGCTGAGGCACCACCTGTGCTACCAGTATTTGAGCTAGTGTGCTGAGGTCCGGAGCTAGGAAGGTCCATGATCTTTTCAAACTCTTCGTCGCTGCTAGGAGGCTCGACTTGCGCATCTAACTCAATCTTCGGTGAGCCCTTGGCTTGTCCAGAAGTTTGTGGTGCAAGTTTCCGTACATCGGCCAGGTTTCCTACAATGGCAGCGGCAGCAGCCATGGCGGGTGACATGAGGTGGGTTCGGCCACCCGCACCCTGCCGGCCCTCGAAGTTTCTGTTCGAGGTTGAAGCACATCGCTCACCGGGAGAAAGAATGTCGGGGTTCATGCCCAAGCACATTGAGCATCCAGCTTCTCTCCACTCGAATCCGGCATCGCTGAAGATTTTGTCGAGACCCTCCGCCTCAGCCTGCTTCTTTACTAGACCAGAACCAGGCACGATCATGGCCCGCTTGATGTTGGAAGCCACCTTCTTGCCTTCAACAATTTGGGCAGCTGACCGCAGGTCCTCAATACGGGCGTTCGTGCAAGATCCGATGAAGATCTTGTCAAGCGGGATCTCCTGCATGGGGGTGCCGGCAGTCAGACCCATGTACTTCAGAGCGCGTTCGCATGCCAGCTTCTTGACCTCGTCTTGGAAGTCATCAGGTCCAGGTACTACACCAGTAATTGGGATGACATCTTGAGGTGAAGTACCCCAAGATACAGTTGGGGCGATGTCCTTCGCGTCAATCAGAACCTCAATGTCGTATTTGGCGCCTTCATCTGACTTGAGACCCAGCCAGTAACTGCATGCCTTCTTCCACTCCGGGCTGTCAACCTTGGGTGCGAGAGGCTTTCCCTTGAGATAGTCGATAGTAATCTGATCAGGCGCGATCATACCGGCTCTTGCGCCACCCTCGATTGACATGTTGCATATCGACATGCGCGCCTCCATGCTCAAGCCGCGGATAGCCGAGCCACAGAACTCGATGACGGCACCTGTTCCTCCGGCCGTGCCAATTTTACCGATGACGTGCAAGATGATGTCCTTGCTGCCAACGCCAGGTCCTAGCTCGCCGTCAACCTGGACTTTCATGTTCTTGCTCCGTTGTGTGATGATGGTCTGTGTGGCTAGAACGTGTTCGACCTCGCTGGTACCAATGCCAAAGGCGAGGGCACCAAAAGCGCCATGTGTGGATGTGTGGCTATCACCACATACGACCGTGGTACCGGGGAGCGTGAAGCCCTGTTCGGGTCCGATGATGTGCACAATACCCTGCCTCTTGTCGTCGAGGCCGAAGTAAGTGAGGTCGAAGGCCTTGACGTTCTCCTCAAGGGTCATGCATTGTAATCGCGAGTCGGTCTCTTCGATGAATTTCTCGGTCGTAGTGAGGTTTTTCCGCGACGCGGTGGGGATATTCTGCTGCCGTTAGCTGCTGCTGGATTCTGCAAGATGCAACACATACGTGGTCGACTGTCGCAAGGGTGCAGTCCGGTCTTCGCACTCGACGGCCAGCATTCCGAAGGCCCTCAAAAGCTTGCTGTAGTTGCGTAAGTGTGTGCAAAAGCAGGACGGAATTCGAGGACTGCCTACTGGTGATGTCACTTCGTGAACAAGATGTCTGTCTGTACAGCTGTTAGTAAGAAACAATGGCTACACAGCGCATGTCATACCAATATAGAGCAGGATTGTGCCATCTTCCTTCTCTTCGACGATGTGGTCCTCGAAGACCTTGTCGTACAGGGTCTGCGGCGGTTTCACAGCAGACGGCATATTGTATATGTGAGGTAGAAGTTGCACGGCAAGCCCAAAGTAGGTGCAGGAAAATAGAGTAGTAGGTCAAGAGAGTGAGACGTGCTCGGCCAGGGCAGGTATCGGCTTAAATGAGGCGCGTGTGGAACTCAAATCGATGGAAGGCGAACGAGGCACAAAAAGATGCCGGCCGATGTTCGGAGTCGACAGTAAGAGGGGCACAGCCGCCAATCACGCCGCGAATGATGACGGTCCGCCTCGGCCTCCACCGCTGTCGGGCTGCGATACTTCATATCTGGTAGGTGCCAGGCGGTGATAGTGGCCTTGAGCGATATAACACGCAGGCAACCTTGTCGCGCATCCCCTCTGGCACTGCGAGAGCTCCTCTAGGTACTGTTTCCGCAACCAATGACGACATTCCTGTGTCGAGAGGTCGCTCCTGCCCCGCACTGCGCGTGCCCCACTGCACCGCCTCCCGAGCGCCGTCTGCAGCGTCAGCAAGTCTACCAATGTTCCGATTTGACACTGGATGAGCATGTTGCGACGAGAGCTGACGAGGCCCTGCCCAACCCACATGTTCACCCACGCATCGTGAGGCTGGAGTGGACCTGACATGTAGCCGAAGTGCAGAAGCAATTTGCTGCGTTTGAAGAAGAATACAATAGCCGTTGATAAGGAAGCGAGCTACCTCGTCCGACTGTAATCCTTCGACCGCATCGCTATATCCACTCCAATGTCGCATCTATCAGAGCGGGGTGAACACAATACGCCGAAGTTGCCGGCAAGTCCCTTGTAGCATATGCACCCCGACCATCCTCCTAGTAATTTACATGTTCCGTGATACTATAGTACACCCACCGGTCTATATGCGTACCCATACATCTACAAATTGTCCGCTGTAAAGATAAGCAATGCCATGCGATGCCGCACGAATAGTCCTACAAGTCCAATCGCGAACTGGAACGCGAGCAAACCCATGGCTAAGCGGTCCTCCCGCATGGGACCGAACCATACTAACCACAAGTTGATTAGTGTAAAGTTGCTCGACGAGACCACCTGCCCTTTCCCATCCGTCTCAACGTCGAGCATCCGAAGCCGGTGCAGCACCTTGAGGCTCTCCGCTATCGGTCGTCGTAGTGGTTTGGTGAATTCGACGCGCGATGGCTCCAGTAAACCTGTCCGTGCGTTGAAATGCGGAAGCCGATGTCGGGGACATGGTACAATATGGAACAGTTGGGGTGCCGAGTAGACAAAGTTGAACGCTTGTGGTAAGAGTAGCAACATGAGTGTTTTGCTGAAGTGGCCGAGGATGGCCACAACGGCGAATACCATGCCCGCAAAATAACAGTAAGTGTCGCCAACAAACACCTTTGCTGGATACCAGTTGTGCATAAGTAAGGCCATCGAGACACCGATAAACGGTAGTAGCAGATACAGCGAGAACAGATGCGAGTCCGTCGCTGGATGTGGGTACGTCGTAAATGGTGAGAGATAGAGCATGTCATTGCCGACAATCAGGACTGCAATGACTATGGACTGGGCCACCTCAATGCCGTTGATGCCCGCCAAGATGTTGATGCTATTCGAGGAGAAGATGGACATCAGCGCCATGTAGACGTAGTAGAGCCAGCCTGGTCGTAGATCAATTAGCGATGCAAAAGGAACGCCCCACGCAAGTACATACCCAGATCAAAGAGCTCGCCAAGGTAAGGCCTGAGCGGTAGTGGAACGACCATCTGCGTGACACCAAAGTCGACAAAGTAAACCACGAGCATGGGAATAACTGCAAAGGCTGGAATGAGCACCTTGTGTCGCCATCTTATGTCGAACAGGTCGTCACCAACACCGAGCAGTACGATCGACTGGAGGGAGAGTATGGCGGACAGATAGGACGCAAGCTTGTTGTGAGGAAACCTGTGTAGTAGCCTTCCGGTCTCGATCAGCTCCAGTTCTTTGATGGTGTCCCGGTTACCGCCCCCTGATGTTGCGACTACAATGTCCTTGTAAAATGGCCATGGTATGAAGAAGATCAAGATAAAGAGGTACACCATAGCACACACCGCGCCCATCATCTCTGGGCTATCGTCATTAGTCGATTATGATCATGTGCAGTATACTTGACACTCACATTTCAATCTGCTTCAGCTTACAGAGATCCTTCCCTTTGAAGCCACGCTTCGCAAATGCATCTCCAAGCCACCGTATCAAAGCATAACAGAATGCAAAGGCCAGACCACTGAGCGCTATCGACGCGACAAGCGGCTCACCATCACCGTGAAGCGTGTTGGCCAGCACACCGACACAAGCGAGCGATAAGGAGAGCAGTGAAAGTGATTCTGTTGATGACAGCGCGCTCGTCATGGTGACAGTGATAGTGTTTGATGTCGAGGTGACGGCGGATCTTGGCACGTAAACGCCTGTAGCTGTTGACTCCGCCCGGCCGTTTGCTGTCGCGACGATATCAACAACTGTTGCGCAACCTCCTCACAGCAACACCGTTACGACCCGCCGCTTTGCCGAATCGCCACCTCTTTGTCTGAACCCGGAGCGTGACTTTGCGTGAATCGTTCGAAGTGGACTTGAGACTGACAAATAAAGATTGTGAACAGATCCACGACTCCAGCAACGAAACGAACGAGCTCGCAGAGTGAGCGAGAGACGAACAGAGCAGCAGAATTTGCACGAGGTCGTGGTTGCGGTGTTTGGTGAGTAGATATTCTGGCAAGGTGTTGTTTCGGCTTCTTCCTGCTCTGCTAACCCGAAACGATAGACCCACGAACATTGGCATCAACATGGCGGACCACAACCAAGCCAGCCGCCCGGCCAAGGCCGATGAACTCCTGGACGGTCTGAATGCGGTGAGCAGTCACCTCGCGTCGCGAAGTTTCCTCCAGCACTTGACAGTCTCGCGTCTGCCCTCTGCTGCGGTCAGCGATTCGTCCTCGCTGGGCCCCACCAAAGAGGAAGCACGGTCGCCTGCACGGAGACCCCATCTCAATATCGCCGCCGCTTTCGAAGACGAGATCGAGCACGTGGATCTAATCGCTCCCCTGATTCAGGAGCCTTGCGCCGACGGCAGCACAGGCAGCGTCGAGCAGCGCGTCATCGACCAACTAGAGGTGGCCTTTGTGTGTGCGCATCGCGCCTACGCTGAGATGGCGGCAGAGCGAAGCTTCCAGACCTTCTCGCATGGCCACCAGGACCTCGTACTCGCTGTCGACTTCAACTACTTCGGTACGCGCATGGTCACGGCAAGCTCAGATCACCGCGTCAAGGTCTGGGACAAGAAGGACGATTCGTGGACCCTGGTCGAGAGCTGGAAAGCTCACGATGCCGAGATTGTCGATGTAAGTTATCTAATCTTCAGCCGCAAATCTTCTTTCGGTCACCTGCATGCCATTTTGCCACCTTTGTGATCCGTCGCTAACTTCATATACAGGTCAAGTGGAACGGTCCCTTCATGGGCGAGGTTGTTGGTAGCATTGGTGAAGATGGTCGCTGCAAGATCTGGCAAGAGGACGTCACCGAGGTAGCCATGTCTGGTAACCGCTTCAAGCTGGTCTACGTCCTCCCTTCGTTGACCAACGCGCCGTTCATGTCTTTGGACTTCAAGAACATCATGCAGGAGACCTGGCTCGCGCTCATCACCCGCGACGGCTATCTCACTGTCTATGAGCCCCAGGATCAGAACAACCTCCATGAATGGACTATCCTGGCAGAGCGCTGGGTCTCCGAAAACAATCCTCCCGAGCGCCAAGAGGAGGTAGGCTTCAAGGTCGTCTTTCACAAGGAGAAGCTACCTTGTTGGACGGCCATCACCGCTGGTCTTGACCGCAAGTCGCTATCGCTCGCCGTTGCTGCCATGAAAGACGTCCTTGTCTTCCGCACCGACAAGGCCAAGCGCTTCTTCCAAGTTGCCAAGCTGGAGGGTGCTCGTCAGATCGTTCGGGACCTGGCCTGGGCCAATGGCTCTATGCGAGGCTACGATATCTTGGCTACGGCTAGCAAAGACGGGGCTATCCGCATCTATGAGCTTCGTACGCAGACCGAGAATAGGAACACTGCATCTGGAGACGCATCGTCTTCCGCTCCGCTTTCAGTCTCTCCGCGGAGCCATCGACAGAACGCCCCATCTGGTATCGGAGCTGGACTGGCTGGAACTTCCAAGGCCCCCGACGCTTCCATTGAGAATGAGCAGTATCCTGGTCGCATCAAGCAGAAGGCAGAGATGACAGATGAGCTTACCAATCATCACGGAGCGGTTTGGCGTGTCGCGTTCTCGCAGATGGGTAAGTCATATCGGAAAAACATGGACAGTCACACTAACGATCATCACAGGTGATCTCCTCGTCACTACTGGAGATGACGCTAGCATTCGTACCTGGAAGAAGGCCGCTGATGGCCACTGGCAGGAATATGCCCAGATTGAGACCGCTCAAGATAACTAGCGAGTCAACCGTTTCCTGCATTGTTAGATTCGACATGTTATGAGTCGAATTAGTCTTCTGAATGAGACATCTATGGCGTTGGTGGCAGGCGGATCGGCGGGAGCCTATTAGCAAGCCGAAACGCATTGCATAACGGAGCAACTATTGGATGAGGAAAGGAGGTCTTGCATGTGGAATTTTCGGCGTTTAGGCATAAGGATAACACCACACGACATACGACGCATGGCTGCTACGCTGCGTCCAGGTCATTCCACGTTTAGATACCCACGGCTATCCATCACTGATTCATCAGCCATGTCATGGTGAGACTTTTCATTTCTGTAATCTTTGGTAAACAATTAAGAACAGGAGCAATGCTTACAATAACCTTGAACACCATAAGAGAAGATGAAGAACTTCTCGGAGTTAGAAGAGAACCACATGTGAAGCTCGCCGTCTTTCCAGATACCAGTCCGTGAGGACGATCCCCAGACTTGGCTTTCTACAAATCCTACTATGGACTGTCTGTGGAGAGAGGCAGCTGACGCTGAGAATGCGCCCAACCTTCTAAAAGTTCCTTTTTGGCTTGTTATGCATGAGAGCACTCTAAGCAAGCCAGTGGGAAGCATGGGTGACACTCTAATGGATTCTGTCATCATAATCCACAGCCGACTTACGCTCCATCGTCCGTATTAACTATGGGACTGTCGACGACATGAGTAACCCGTCCATACGGTTGTTACACAGCAAGCTCGGCTACCATGTAGCCACACTTCGAGATCACGGACTGCCTCACTCCCCGTAGACATACGTAAATACTGGGCTACTGCCGCTCAGATCTTTATTCATAAGTCAAGTTCCAAGATTGTTCTGGTGGTTGGCAACGTCGCAGCGCGTGCGTACACCATGTATCTCAAGTAGATGCAAGTACCGCACACTACGATATGGGTGTTTGGTAAGAAACGTTTCCCCGTTGAGGTACCTTTGGGTTGGCTTGGGACTTTTGAGGATGGCACCGTTCAACGGCTGAGTTTCGCCATCCCTCATCCAGAGGCATTCTCCAGGAACCGCGGATCGGTACTAACGGACATTCGACGCAAACATGCCTTTATAGAGCGCATGCTCGACTTCTACCAAGCGAAGCTGTTTACGGGTGTTCATCTTCCGTTATTATTGTCTACATCAGCCTCACTATACCAACATAGCATTGGTAGCATCTTGCCCGCCTCAGAGTTCACAAAGTATAGCCGAACGAACGATGCTCTTAGCCAGCATTTTAGTCGGCCAACATTGGACACGGGCTCACTTGACAAGGCCCTCAGGAAAAGAAGAGATGCCTAGGTATCAGCCTCGATCAAGAATTAACCATCAAGGCCATCCAGAAAGCCGTTAATGTGAAGCCTTTTGATGCTCTCAGCTATTGGTAACGAGATGAGGTCAAGCGCTAATACGGCAATTGTATGGGGTTGTTGTGTAGTCGGTGGACTCGAGGTATCACTCCATCCAAGGAGAAAACTTGAACATCCATCTCTAGAGGGTGATAGATGCAAGCAGCCAAGAGTCTACATCACGTTGAGATTTTGCCAATCTCTGTTTTGATACCAATGTAGACTGCAGCTCACCTCTTCAATTCAATCTTTGAATGCGGTGGCAATGCGAGTTGCTTGGGTTTTGATGGACAAGCCATCTACAATATGATAGTAGAGAAGATATTAGAGAACGCTGGTACGTAATTAAGCTCTGGCGATTGGAGCTGATGTGATAGTAACAGAAAAAGCACCCCAAGAGAGAAGGTATGGCACATGCTGCTATTTTGAAAAAGTATGTGAAATGATGTGCGGGTATAAGGTACACAAGGTAGCATCGAACAGTTTCATTGCGCCGGTACACAGTCATCCTGTTATGACAGCCATCATTGCGGTGCGCCGTGTAAACATCAGATGGTATTAAGAGGAGACGACAGCTCCAGGAGTTTCGCTCTTATCCTTTCCTAGGTCTTGGACTCCTAGGCACTAGACCTTCGCCTTGCGCCTTCATCTTGTCCATCGCCTGCTGAACTTGATGCTGTCTCTTTGAAACGTGCTCGTGCCGCTTCTCGACGTCTGCCTCAAATTCCTGGGCCAGCTTGCGTTTCTTTTGCCTTGCCTCCTTTGTGCGCTGGATGATGTCCTGAAACCGATCGAGGAACCAGTCGCCAGCATCCTCCCACTCGGTGGTGGGTAGTGCCTGGAAAAATTCGGATTGCTGAACGGCATCTAGATTCTGCTGTACTAACTCTAGACGCTCAACCAGAGGCTTCTGAAGATCTTCCTTTGCGAGTACAGACGGCCGGGCGCGAGGATTAGTGTCGAAGCTCTCGTTCCTGAGCTCCTCGTAACTCATCCTGAACAGCGTCTTGTCATCGTAATCTTCATGTGAGACGGCTTCGAGCTCCTCGATTGGCGCTTGCTCGACCAGTTGCTCCTGCGTTACTGGTTCTTGTATAGCTGGTACTGGAGGTTGGCGCTTGAGAGGCGCATGCGACTCACTGGGCATGGCATTCTTCTTTGGTGGAGGCTGCGTCCAATGGCCAGAAGACTGCCGAAAAAGGTTTTGCTGAGATTTGCTGGGCTGCACCTTGGTACTAGGGCGAGAACCCGAATACATCGGTAGGTTGGCAGTGCTGTTCGGCTTGGTCGGAGGATGGGTTTGATGCTGACTGGCTGGAAGGGCAAGGACATATTGCTGAGCATTCTGAACTCCAGCCTGCAGAGAAGGCGCAACAGTGCGAGACTGCTCGCGGAGTTGTGCACCATGCCGAAACAAACCCGATGGCTGCTGCGTGTTCTGGTGGGCAATTGGTACGTTTCCCATTTGCTGTTGTTGCAGGGCATGGGGCGCCGTCATGCGTGCAGCTTGCTTGTTTACATTCTGCCGCTGAGGCGGTGGGGAAATGGGGGCAAGCTCGTTGTGGAAGTTGGAGAGTGCGTCCTGTCCACCTTCCCACTCGGACGGCTCACCATTGGTGGTCGGGGGATACGAGTCACCTCGGACAGTTGGGAGCGCACCGCGCCCTACCTCTTGCAAAAAGGCGACTTGATCATCGTACGGAAGATGTTCAAGTCCGTGTGCACCCATGAAACCTTGATTATCCTGCAGCAGTTCGTCATCATAACCTTCAGACTCGTCGTCCGGATAGTCCGACTCGTCTCGACACTCTTCGCCCTCTCCCTCTATCTCCGAAGCGCCACCAAGGTTGACGACATGTCCTTGCCGTGGGTAGTGCTGCTCTTTCTGTTGACTGTCTTCGACTTGCACGATAGATGGGTTCACAGTAGTGTCAAGACTCTCTGCATCAGTGTCGTAGAGATCACGCTTCTGACTTGGACCCGGACCTAACTGTCGATTTTGGAGAGGCTGCTGTAAGATGGCGGAGCTATTTTGGGTAATGTTGAGTCCGCGCGCCGGAATACCAGAAACTGCTTGAGGTTGCTGAACGGAATGTCCGTTTTTTATTGATACCCTCGCGTTTGCTGCATTGGCTTGACGGTCGGGCTTGCCTTGAGGCTGACCAGCGGCAGGACTGCCGGTTCTCTGACGAGCGACAAAGCCTTGCATGGTAATATGAAAAGAGAGCCGCACTCACTCTCTTACTTGTCGACGGTCAGCTGAAGTTGAGGTTTGCGACGTGAGTTGAGAAAGTGAGTGTTGAGGCTTGAATGAGAAAGCGCGTCTTTGATGATGCTCTAACTTAATCCGGATAAGCCTCGGCCCCACTAAAGTGAGCCTAGCACCGCGATGACGATATCTTATCTCCGAGTCGTAGTGTTGCTCCCTTCGCCCATGCCTGGAGACTCGTTCCCCACGAGGTTTGGCATTCTACGTTACAGCCTGATATACATACAATCGCATCTGACATGATGAGTGAATGTTATCTTTACAGGCTCCCCAATGAGGTACGCTCTTCTGTCGCTTCAGTATCGCGTCTAAGTTGCTCACTACTGCAGTTACTTCTCCATCTTCTCACACTCATACCGACACCAGAACTCCTACAGTTGACCACGATATCGCACCGTATATACACACTCATCCTACGTATCCTCCATAATCGACTTACTGCAGCTGCCGAGCTGCATTCGCACTCGGTGCTTCTCGAATGTTTTCACCCCTCTGCGAAGCTCACCGAGCCACCGTACTTTTGTACATATCGATGCACCGATGGCTTGAAGAAATATAATGATTACAATTCTAGTACGGAAGAGGTTGGTAGACTAGCTGAATACAACAACATGTACTCGCGCTTCAAGCCCCACAGGCGCGATTTAGAAGCGGGTGGCAGAAGAGTGAAGCGCCGACCTGGAGACGTACCTGGCAGTCGCACGTTTCCGGGGGCAGTGCAGGAGAGATACGAAGGTGAAGCTGTCAGACAGACACTGGGACTGGAGGCGCACGAGCTGTTCACGCAGCTGGTTGCGCAGACGAACCTCGTAAAGATTGGCTCTCACAACCTCTTCACCAACTTTGTTGACATTGAGGAGGGTGTGCTCCGAGTGTGGAGAGAGTGGCTGCGTGACATTGCGGCGAAGGGCCCGACAGCGAATACAGAGGTACCAAATGAGATTGTTGAGGAAGTAAGCAAGGGCAAGGAGATCGTACGAGAGGTGGAAGAAGAGAAAGCGGACTTGGATGACCCACGTATCCTATGGGTCAGTCCAAGGAAGGATAGCGGTATACGTTTCAATGTTAGGGAACGGAAACTTCGGAGGGACGCCCCAATCCTTATGAGCACAGACGAGGATATGCCAGTTACTTACGAAATTGAGTACGACGGTAGGTTAATGCATCGTCCCTGGTGTTGTAGTAATTGCTGATGTCTGGTAGAGCTCCTCATAAGAACGTCGCATCTCCTTTTAATGCTCGAAAGGTCCATGTTGCAGGAGGACAATTCATCTGGCAAGGCAGTTGTCTTCGGATCTTTCGGATAATTCATACAGTTCCAACAAATGCACACCCTATTTCAGAAAGAGTCATGGTCTGGTCAAGTGGGCAGCCTAGATGCTCGGTTCTTAGAGTGGAGTCACCCCTCCTTGGCGCAATCGGTCAAGCACAACGCACCAGGGCATCAACGCATCCTCTCCCGCACAACAGCAAGGGATATACGCTGTCCCTAGCCAGGAGACAACGTAGAAATCTTGCATAACCAATGTCCAAGTTGCGGCTGGAAGCTGTTTTCGGGGATTCGGCAAAAGAAAAAAAGTAGAAAAAAGAACTTGGCAAATAGGGATCCACGGGTCTAAAAGACCCTATCTCTCGCTAAAAAATGACCTCGAGGTGATTTGAACACCTAACCTTCAGGAAGCTCCAGGGAAACTGGAATCTGACGCGCTACCATTGCGCCACGAAGCCTGATTGGATGGAAGAAATTGGTCCAAGCACTTATGATATACTCAGCGTTCCTGTCCTATACAGGAACTTCGTGAGATGGTGTGCTAATTGCAAAGGCATCGTACTAGTTTTAAGTCGAGTTATCGAGCCTGATCCGCTTTCAAAAAGGCCACGTCTTCAATTTCAACGATCTCTACACGCTAATCCTACAACGCTCCTAGTATCACGCAACGGCTTTCTACCCCACTATTCCCTAGCCCATATGCATCTTAAAAATCTAGATCTAGATAGTGCTCTCCATCAAATTGGATTCAGTCTGATCGCAATTACTAAAGAACCGCAACAGTAAATACGTGGAATGAGATGATTTTCATGACCACGAAGAGGGATTCTCCATATGAAAGGTATTATCGATAAGATCATCGTCATCTCGCGACAAACACATCCTTCATCTCGGGACGCTCTCTCCATAGATTGACAAGCGGCAAGAACAGGTTCTTCTGCACTTCTTTTCCTTCCTGCTCAGCTTTCGCCTGTTCTCCAGCCCATTGCCACATTTGGCTCCAAGGAACCCAACTCCACGCGGCACATTTGTGCGGTTCCATCGGCTGTCAAAATCATCAGTACTGCATTTCCTACCCCCTTCAACTCAAGCACGAAGAGGGGCTTACCATAGGTGTCTCATTTTCACCGATAATGCTGCAAGTAACAAAAATGGTCACATAGTGCTTTCCCTCTCCGAAAACATCGTTGGTAGCAGTCAGAAACTTGATGTTGCCCACCTCAAGCCCAGTCTCCTCTAAGACCTCTCTTGCAGCTGTTTCAGCGAACGACTCGCCATACTCGAGATGGCCCCCGGGACACTGGAGAGTTCCCGCGCCGTGCGAGCCTGCGCGCTCGCCCATGACGATATTGCCCGCGTTGTCGTGGATGATGACGCCGACGCCAATCTTGGGACGTTGTGCTTCTGTCATATTGGAAGAAGTCGATGGGTTTCTCTGTTTCGTAGGCAGCTGGGGAGTTCAGCCGCAGTAGTCGTGACCTGCTATGCTGACCGAGGCCGCAGGCATGACTCTTCCTGATACATGGTGGCTACTCTGTGCGCTAGCGCCTAACACAGTCTAGTCGCCCCAAAGCACCGCAGGGCTGCTATCTCTATTTCCATCTGCATCGTGCTCAGCACACTAGGACGTCGCGAATGAGTCAAGCTGATGGGAAAGGGTTACTACGCTTCGAAGGCGGAGTCGGCATTTGCGGAAGGTGTAAATCAGGCCTCCAGCTCCACCATCTGCAAAGTTCGCCCTATTCGGAACACGACGGAAGCTTGGCACGTCAGCGTTGACTTCATCGTTAGGATGTGTTGACAAATGTATATTCGGGATTTAGTGAAAAAATAAGTTCTATCTTCGCAAGGTCTCTATTCTCTTGTTGTTCTCTCTTCCTCTCTGCGGGTAATTGCTACCATCAATCGCTCTTTTCGACAACTTCTCCAGCATCACAACACACCCAATCTTGCCGCCAGCGACACTATCCAGAACACGTTTCCATCAACATGCCATTCGAAATAGCCCGAGAGTGGTCGTCGTATCATCTGATACCCCAATCAGTCGATGTCGCCCTGAATCCACCTGAATCCTACTTCTTCATAACCGACTTCCTGATCATAGCCTGCGGCATACTCTACACGCTCTGCTATATTTTCTACACCATCCGAACCTACTCGGACCGCTACCTAGCTGGGACTGTACAGTTTCTTTCCGCGACTATGGCGTATGAGATTTACTACGCGTATATCTGCACCAGCACGACTTTCCAGAGAGCTTGCTTCTTTGTGTGGTTCTTGTTCGATATTACATTCGTCACTGTCGCGCTCAAGTATGCATACAAGCCTGAGGAGAGAATGAGGACGATTGTGAAGTTGTTGTGGCAGGTGCCTGCTTGGATGGCCTTTTTGTGGTGGGTTGGGACGGTGTGGCCGGATGAGAGGGAGCAGAAGACAGCGTTTTTCACGGGGTTGTATCTGGAGTTGCCGATTGGCTGGGGACAGATTTTGTATTTGGTTCAGCGACAGGACACCAAAGGGCAGAGTCTGGAGGTTTGGTACGTTGGTCTCGTTCTAGTTCGCACCATGGCAGGTCGCATACCAGGACCCATATGCTGACAAGTCTAGGCTTACGAGATACCTTGGGTGCATTACGGCGTTTCTGGTGTTCATATGGAGATATGTCAACGTACCGCAAAACTGGTCTTATGTCGGAAACTGGTGGAGTATTGGTGGCATGATCGTCACGCTGCTGCCAGAGACAGTGTATCCGTTCTTCTACGTTTGGGCGCACCGGAAAGAGAGAGAGAATGCGAACAGAAAGAATGCTTGATGCTGAAGAGACGGAACCTGTCGATAAAAGAGGGAATTGCGAAGATGCAACTGTACGGGAATCCGTTTATCAGCCTTGTCCAAATGTGCCGTGCCACATGGTTGTCTCCGCCCACCCCATATTTGTGCATACCAGACAAGGTCTCTAGTATCGTTGCCCGCATCTATGGATCGTATTGTCCTGTTGCATCAGCTGATGACAGGCGCACAACAACCCGGAAATTCGGCATTCTCAATCAGGCTGTGGACTGATGCTGTGACAGTGCGCGAAACCCAAGACGGCCGATCGGCTCACAAGAATTTGAAGCCACGCGTACAGTCATTACGGCAGGTATGCGAAGACGACCACAAGTCTTTGTCAAGACAATTGAAAGTAGCGATGGCGCGAGCTGGGAGGTTCTTTTCCATGAGTGCAGCAACAATTGGAAGTCGGTAAACCAGTGCGCGGCGCGATGCGGCAATCTATTGCTGAAATCGAGATCATCGGCAGGCATGCTGGTAGGATTGGACAAGCTTCCCAGCCACGCGATCTAGGCCGGACATGGCGTCTTTGGATGGATCGTAGCCACAGCACTGTGCGCCTGCGTGTGTGTGCCCGCAGCCATGACGCTTATTATCTGGTTCGCACTAGCCGCATTGCCGATCTTCAGCCACACGATTGGTCTCGCTCGCTCCGTCCCAAAAGCGAGTTCCCTAGCCTGCCCAAACTTCTGTTTACTGCGTCGTCCTCTTCTTTCCCCTCATCGTCGCAGTCTTCGTCTGCCGACAGTAGCTGCCATCAATCGACACAATGGCGCAACACGGTGAAGCTGCCGATTACTACACTGGCGCCGCTCCACCCCAGCAACCACAGGGCGCATACTACCAGGGCCAGCCATATGGACAACAACCTCCCCAGTATGGCCAGAACTATGCGTCGCCGCCTCAGGGACCGCCGCCGATGCAGCAGCAGAACGGCTACCAGCAAGATGGCTATGGCGACAACAAACAAAGCTTCGAACAGGCGTTCAAACTCGACAAGCCCAAGTACAACGATTGGTGGGCGGGACTGCTCTTCATCGCTGTTTTCCTCGGTTATGTAGCAGTCAGTGTGATCTCAATTCGGGGATATTGTAAGTATTCGGCACAAAATGCGCGTGGACCGTATACTGACGCTCGATACAGCGCGAACCAATAGCGGAGGCATCTACGGCGGCGACACCAACAATTTTGCTCTCAACTCGAACACCATTATCCTCTTCGCGTTCGTTCTCGGTTTAGCCACCGTCTTCAGCTATGCATACATGTGGGCTGCGCGCAAGTTCACCAAGCAGTTCATCTGGATCACCGGCATACTCAACATCATCTTCGGTTTTGTTACGGCAATCTACATGTTGTCCAGGAGATACTGGTCTGGAGGCATTGTTTTCCTGCTGTTCAGCGTCTTCTACGTTTTCTGCTTCATCAGCTGGATTCCCAGGATCCCGTTCAGCGTCCTTATGCTGCAGACTGCCATCGACGTGTCGAAGAAGTACGGACATACCTACATCGTATCGCTGGTCGGAGGACTGCTCGCAGCTGCACTGGGCGCATGGTACTCCGTCACGCTGGTCTCCATCTACGTTCAGTATACACCCAATGGTGCCAATTCGAACTGCAGAAACGGTGTCGGTGATTGCGGAAACGGCAAAGTGATTGGCTTGCTGGTTTTCGTTACCTTCGCCATGTACTGGATCTCCGAATGGCTGAAGAACACAATCCACACTACCATCTCTGGCGTATACGGCTCCTGGTATTTCAACCCGAACTCCATGCCAAAGGGCGCGACCCGCGGTGCTTTCAAGCGGTCCGTGACCTACAGCTTCGGCAGTATCAGTCTTGGAAGTTTGCTTGTAGCCATCATCCAGACTCTTCGTCAGCTCTGCTCGGCCGCTCAGCGCAATGCTGCCGGTGATGGCAACATAGTGGGGGCGGTTCTGTTTTGCGTCCTGGGCTGTCTGATTGGCATCCTCAACTGGGCTGTGGAGTTCTTGAACAGATACGCATTCAGCTACATCGCGCTTTACGGAAAGAGCTACGTCGCTGCTGCGAAGGATACCTGGAAGTAAGTTCTTCTGTCGCTTCATACCCGGTAACATCAAGACTGACTCTTGTAGGATGATCAAGGATCGCGGCATCGATGCGCTTGTCAACGAGTGCTTAATCGGCCCTGTGCTTTCCATGGGAGCTACCTTCATCGCATATGCCTGCGCGCTTCTGGCCTACCTTTACCTCATCTTCACCTCGCCCGCATACAATTCAGACGGCGCCTACACTCCGGTTGTAGTAGCCTTCTCTTTCCTGATTGGTCTCCAGATCTGTAAGTCGTCCAGGAATATTCGCAACGCTCATACTAACTCCTTTCAGGCAACATCTTCACCACGCCATTGAGCAGTGGAATCGATACTATCTTTGTTGCGATGGCCTGGGACCCTGAGGTTCTTATGCGCGAGCACCCAGACCTCTACCACCGCATGATAGCCGTCTACCCGCACGTGCAACAGGCGATTCATGCGTAGACTGGGGCTGCGGACACCTTTTAAACATTTCGTCGGACTATTTGGAAATTGCATAAAATCTTTATAATCACGAGATACCCACTTCAAATCGATCGCGATTCCTTTGCGACACAATTTTCTGCCCATGGCGGGGCGCCCTGACAGCAATGCAGATGGATGGGCTTGGCGCAGACTAAAAACGGGAGACCGAACCGGCGTCTCCACAAGGCCACTGTCGGCGCTACGACTTATGACGTCTACAGCCCCATTCACATCGTGGAATGCGCGATCCAGGCAAAGCATAATGTTGGGCGTTGTAAGCTATGGAGCGGCTTCCACGGCCGGGAAAGCTCCGCCTCGTGAGGCTATCACAAGTAAGATGTTGGGCATCACCCACGAGTGAGATATTAATATATTCTTTTCAACTTCATGTTGGTGGGTTGCCTGCCATATTGCAAGCGACACGTCAAACACCCACGTCTTTGGTATTGCTTTTGCACTGTCTCGCAGTTCGTGCCTACCTCCATTCGCTCCTAGCGGCCAATCGGGTGTCCATAATCAACGTCACCGCCTTGCGGGGTCTATCCTAAGCCACCTCACTCATCGCGCTGGGCGCCCCCAACATAAACACCACCTGTTCCCCCTCTCTCACCACAGCCTACTGCACCTCCACATTCACCTGCACACCGCCCGCTAGAGAACCTTCTGGCCAGGTAAGTTTCTCCCAATTGCATACGTAACCTGTAAATCCCTCCGGTTCCCTACTACTTATACCCCACCAACGCGCCTTCCTGCTCCACCACCAACACAACAAACACTTCTCTTCCCTGCCACCCTTCAACTCTCTACAACTCACTTCAAACTCAACACTCCCAAGTAACACCCCTCTAGTTTAATACACATCACCTCCACTACACACATCATGCCCTACGAGAAGAAGGCAGTCCACTTCGGTGGTGGTAACATCGGCCGTGGCTTCGTCGCCGAGTTCCTCCACAACTCTGGCTACGAGGTCGTGTTCGTCGATGTCATGGACAGCATCATCGAGTCCCTCCAAAAGACCTCCACCTACACCGTCACCGAGATTGGTGATGACGGCGAGCGCAAGTTCACCATTGACCACTACCGCGCTATCAACTCCAAGCATGAGATGGACAAGGTCGTCGAGGAGATCGCCACCGCCGACGTCGTCACCTGCGCTGTCGGTCCCAATATTCTCAAGTTCGTCGCTGAGCCCGTTGCCAAGGCCATCGAGGCCCGGAAGCTCGACTACCCCATCGCCGTCATCGCCTGCGAGAACGCCATCAACGCTACAACTACATGGAGGGGTTTCATTGAGGGCAAACTGAGCGAGGAGACCAAGAAGAACATCGACAGCAAGGCTCGCTTCGCCAACTCGGCCATTGACCGTATCGTCCCCCAGCAGCCCCCCGACGCTGGCCTCGACGTCGTCATTGAGAAGTTCCACGAGTGGTGTGTCGAGCAGAAGCCTTTCGAGAACGGCGGCAAGAAGCCGGATGTCAAGGGCATTCACTACGTCGACGACCTCGAGCCCTACATTGAGCGCAAGCTCTTCACCGTCAACACGTCCCACGCCACTGCCGCCTACTACGGACACCAGAACAAGGTCCAATACATCCACGAAGTTCTTCAGGATAAGAAGCTCCACGACACTGTCCGTGACGCTGTCAAGGAGACTGCCCACCTGATCGTCACCAAGCACGGCGTCAAGACATCAGAACAAGACGAGTACGTCGAGGAGATTATCAAGCGTATCTCCAACCCTGTCCTCAAGGACAACGTCGAGCGTGTCGGCCGTGCTCCTCTCCGAAAGCTCTCTCGCAAGGAGCGATTCATTGGCCCCGCCGCTCAGCTGGCTGAGAAGGGTGAGAAGGTTGATGCTCTCCTCGGCGCTGTCGAGCAGGCCTATCGCTTCCAGAACGTCGAGGGTGACGAAGAGTCCGCTGAGCTTGCCAAGATCCTCAAGGAGAACTCCGCTGAGGATGTAGTCACCAAAGTCAATGGCATCGAGAAGGGAGAGCCCCTCTTCGACCGCCTTGTCGCCATTGTCAAGAAGGTTCAGGAGAGTAGCTGAATAGCCGTTGGTAGACTCTGAGTAGTAGTAGTCGCTGCGGCCTGATGGAAGTGGAGTAGTTAGGCACTTAAGAACCTACCGTGGTTTATTTACAGCGAGGAGGATGGACAGCACCCTGAGCGACGGCTTCATGTGGCGAAACTTTTGTGACATCGACCGGAATCAATGTCCTATGTAATGACAACGAGACATGAATCATGAATATACCCTTTCAGTTACTTCTTTTCTCTAGGCAGCTTTCAGTTTCATGCGTCTTTGCTCTTCCAACCCCCACATCAGCCTCGTCGAGGTTTTCTTATTGCCTTCAAAGATGCTGTGAGTAACCCATACTTTTGTGCCCCAACGTCGTATTATACATGTCTCGGGGCTACATAAGCGACACCATGCTGAAATTATCGAAAATCAGCCTTGGGAAGCCCTGTCTGTTCCACTCTGCGACAATCGGCCTCCCTCCTTTCATTCAAAAATTAGAGTATCTTCAGCGTCTCCTTCTTCACGGGGTCAGCTTTCGCCTCGGGCCTTGAGAAGATCGAACCAATGACTAACTACATTGGGCCGGTGAATGTGATTCGCGTTACCACGTCCTGCAGCTACTCAAGATGTACTGGGCAACAATATCGCACATGGAAAGAATCGCTTTATCTAGGATTTTCGGAACTCGGGCTACACGCGAACAACCGATAACTACATGTAGGATTGTTGCGTAATATCGCCCCCTTCGGAAACGTCCAGGAACGGGCGCGGGTATGACGGACAGGGATGTCAGGGGCGGCGTTTGCGACATTCACCTCGCAAGGCAAAGGTTTCCCACGAACCTCGAGAAATTGCAAGGCCTTCCGGGCGAAGTGATTGTTGTTGCGACTTACAATTGTGGGTACTTTTGCGGTGCGTGTTTCGAATGTATTTCCCTTACTGCGCGACTATTTCAAGAACCTCATCGCTAAAGTAGCTTTTCACGTCCTCTTCGCTCGATTCTTCTTGATTTTCTCAGTACAAGAGCTTCTCTTCTTTATTCAACTTCTGTTTTTCAAGACAATTGCATTATACCAACAGCCTTTCGGCTGCAGCAACAATGTTACCAACCTCTATCCTCACAGCTAGCAGCTTCATCGCTGTTGCCTCCGCATTCCCGCTTTACTCTCATGTCGGAGCATCTACTACTTTAGCCTCGCGAGCTGCTTACATCACGTTTGGTGGTGACGGATCAATCGCTGCTGGATGGCCAAAGCAGAGCGAATGGAAGTCTTTTGAGGACGCCTGGTATGTTTCCGTCAGAACAAGAGTATGTTATTTACTCACACATTAGTAGGGCATCCAACCAAGAAATCATCAAGGGCTCTTGCGAACACAACGGCTGGGGCGACAACAACAGCGACGCCGAAACTCAGGCCATCAAGGATAGCATTGAATCAGAGTCAGAAGCCTCTGGCGTTCCCAAAGAGCTCATCCTCGCCGTTATGATGCAAGAGTCCAAGGGCTGCGTTCGTGCTCCCACTACCCAATCCGACGCACACAACCGTAAGTGTCTCTGTACGAACCACGTGAGAGACATACACTGATATCGTACACCAGCGGGTCTTATGCAGGGTGCCGGTACTGCCTCCTGCGATCCTCTCACCCAAGACGCCATCTCACCCTGCCCCGCCAACGTAATTCATGACATGATCCACGAAGGTACTGCTGGAGAAGGTCTGAGGTCAAGTCTGAAGAAGTCACTGGACGCATTCAGCACCACCCCGGACGACAGCAAGTACTACAAAGCCGCGCGTCTCTACAACTCCGGTGATCAGGTCACAGATCCAAACCTGGGCCAAGGCTCTACCGCATGCTATGCTTCCGATATCGCGAACCGTCTCATCGAACCTTTCTCAGAGAGTAACTGCGACAACAACGCTGTGGCTACCCTGACCAAGACCGAGGGCCGCGAGACTAACAATAACGACAATGACGATCAGCAAATTGATCTTGAACAACACCAGACCGACAATGAACAGCCAGCGCCCAAGGAAAATGGAGACACTCAAAGCGGTGACAGTGGTATCCTCGACGCTACCATCACCGGCGCTGTGGACGGCTGCACCAAATACTATACACCATCGGGAGGCAGCAACTGCGAGGCCGCGCCAATTACTTTGGCCATGTTGCGTCAACTCAACTCAAAGTTGGGCGAAGATTGCTCTAACCTTTGGGCCGGGTACGGTTACTGCATCGCTACTTGAGCGTAATGGCCGCCCAGCTAAAGCGTGGAAATCCAAGGAAAACATTCCTATTCAACATCGGGCTTCTCAATGCTGCTTTCTTCTTTTCTACACAATCGCTTTTATAACGCGTTTTTTTGTTCCTGTAAGATTAGAGTTCTGAGCATGTGAGACAATCAAAATACTTTATGCTTAATAAGACCACTGTCGCGTAGCTGGGGCAACTGCATTATTTACGCTACATGACGATGTACCCGACTACTGTTGCGGCGATGGAGTCGCTCTACTGTCCAGATACAATCAATTGAGTAATGTCATCAATCTCCTTAACCGTCGGCGTCAGGTTCTCAAACCCATCTTTGGTAACGAGGACATTGTCTGCAAGACGTTAGCATATCCTCTGCATCTTTCCTCATCTCAGCCTACCTTCAATTCTCACACCTCCCACACTCCAGTACTTGTCCAGCACACTCTCATCAATGTACTTCTTCTTCTCCTCGTCCTTGAGATACGGCTCAATGATGAACTTGCAGAAGTAGATACCAGGCTCAACGGTAATGACGCTGCGTTCGGGCAGAGTTCCCCTCTTCCTTAGGTACCTGAACATGACGTCCTTGTCCGCGTAGTTGGGGTCGCCGCCAGAGTCGTGGGTATCCATTCCCAAGTAGTGACCTAGGCCGTGAGGGAAGAAAGCTACGCTGATCCTCTTGTTGAAAAGCTCCTCCGCATCCCCTTTCAAAATACCGAGTTCCAAGAGTCCCTTGATAGCGATCTTATGGGCGAGCTCGTGTACGTGGTCCCATACGACACCAGCTTTGAGCGCGTTGGTGCACTGATGTTGCATGTCTAGAACAATCTTGTAGATAGCAAGGGATTCAGTGGTGAATTTGCCTTTAACGGGGAACGTGCGTGTGATGTCGGAAGCGTAGCAGTCGACCTCGCATCCTGCGTCTAACAATAAAAGGTTCTGATCTGAGATGGGAGCAGCATTGTTGACATAGTGCAGCGTCGCGGCGTGTTCACCGGCAGCAACGATAGAATGGTAGGCTTGGTTCTTCGCGTTGCGCTCTACACACGCCTTGAGAAAAACAGCCTCAAGCTCGCATTCGTTCTGCGCTTTCGACGCAGCCTTCATGACGGCCTCGTGAGCTGCTGTTGAGATGACATTTGCCTTGCGAATGAGAGCAATTTCGTAGTCTGTCTTTGTGACGCGGCAGTACTCGATGGCGATTTTCAGCTGCTTGAACTCCTTCTCTTTGTAGGAAATGAAGGTGATGTGGTCGGATACCTGCTCCGGAATAGCGTAAACGGTTGATTGCGCGGATTCGGATTGGCTCGCCAGGTGAGAGTTGACGTCTTTGGTAGTCAGACATTCGTCAATGTCGTACTTGGCCTTGGCCTCTTCTGGGCTCATAGGCAGACCAGACCAGATGACCTCGTCCGGCTCTACAGGAGGGATGAAGAGGGTGAGTTTCTCGGTAGCAATCTCGTATACGAGATACGAATCTGGCAGCTCGCAGCCGCTGAGATAGAAGAAGTACCGTCGCTGACTAGATGGAAATGATCAGCGCATGCTTACCCCGACCCAAATAATGCCTACCGGAATGGTGCCTCGCCATCGTTGTCCTGGCAAGTATATTAGTCCGTACTGCGACCAGCATCATCATGAATGCATACCTCGTTCAACTTCTGTTTCTGCGCTTCCAGATAAATAGTTCCGTTCTTGTCTCCACCCTTTTCGATGATCCACTCTGCAACCTTCTTCGCATGTGCCTTGGCCGGGTATTTGCCCTTTAGCACCTCTTCGTAGTTTTCGGCAATCGCCATCTTGTGCACGTTGGTCCAGCTTCCGCTCTCTGCAGATAAGGTGTAAAAGCAAGGTGTTGCAGTCGCTGAGTGTGTTGGTGGTGATGACGACAGACGTGGACGTAGAGTGTGTCGAAGTGAACGACTGATTTGAGGTAGCAGGGCACGCATGGGGAGCTTGGAGGAGCTTTGCTGTTTGTTAGGCGCGCTGATAGCTACAGGTCGCGAAGGTGGGGTGGTGGGGTGAGCTTGCATCTGACGGGTAGCCGCGGTCTACGAGTCGCGATCATAACAGGAAGGTGCAACTCTTCTGAATGCGATCATCAATTGCACGCCGCGAATCTTTGTTGGATGTACAGATATGCATGTCGCTTCGCTAATTTTCGTAGTAGTACATAATCATGTCTAAATCCTTAACCCACAACAAGTCGTCTGACGCCGCAAAACACGCTCGATCCCCAAACGCCGGTCCATCATGCCGTTGTCAATCCATGCGTTAGATCAATGATGCCACCAAAATCGCAATTGTCCATGCTGCAGCCGAGCTAGCAAATGCGGTATATGGCTCCGAAATACCGACCCGAAGTTCTTGGCACGAGAGGTGGGTGTTTATGCTTTGTCGTACGATGGAGCACAGTCGCTTTGTTTCGTCCCATGTGTTCGTTGTCGAATCGGTAATGGAAGTGATAGAGGGAAATCTAGTCCTGCCAGCGCCTCAGGAATTTGGCCATGTCATCGGTGGCGTGAGGAGCTGCGGCAACCTGAAAAGATGTCAGTAAAGCTTCCAGATAGTACTAAAACACCAGCGCATCTCTATACACCCCAAACCACGTACCGTGTTCTCCATGCTTTTGACAGAGAAGGTTTGACTCTGCGTAAGCGTAGTCAATTGGCTCGGGATCGGCAGCCTCGTCTTTGCAATCTTGACGCTGCTTGTAGGGTACAAGGGCTTTGTGTTCTTGGCGGTAACCTTTGTGGGCGGTACAGGCTGCATGGGCGCATAACGCGTCAAGCCCGTCTGCATTGCGTAGTCCACCTTGTATACGTCGTCATCAACCGGATCGGCGTCAGCAGGATTCGTCCCATCGGTCGTCGTGTCTACGGTCGGTGGCCCGGTTGTGGTGTCAATGTCTTTGACGGCGGCTTTGACAGCGTCGCTCAGAACGTTCTTGCCTGTCATGCCACTGAAGGAGAAGCGATCGGAGTAGGTGAGGAGCTGACCGCCAGTCTTTCCAACTGCGATCATCTTGATGAAGCTGTGGCGATCAGATTAGCCAGCTGCTGAGCTGAATTTCAGGTGAGAGCTCACTAGGCATTGACGTCTTTCAAATCTTCAGACTGAGTTGTTTCAATCCTACCCGAGGCTGTGTTGCCCGCTGTGAACGCGCCGCTTGTTGTGATGACGCCCACTGGGAACTGTTTCCCCTCATTAGCATCTTTTCATTGCGCCTGTGCCGATGCCACTACTTGCAACCTACCTGCTCAGTGCCATCATTGCCTCCCACAATTACCTGCAACTCATACGTTGTCAGGTCTGTTAGCTTCGGTCCTGTGCCACCTTCTTCCCATTTTACTGTGACGGCTCCGCCAGCCGCAATCTTGTCGCCCGCTTTCGGTGATGTGAATTTGACCCCGGCATCGACGAGCGGAGAAAGGGCAGCGACGACGGCGGCAAAGGGAAGTAATATCCGCGTCATGGTGAGGGATTGTGAGGGCAACGATTGACGGGCAGGCAGCGGTGTGACCTGGAAGCGAGCGTCGAGCGCTGTAGGATGGTAGAATGAGGGGCACGATACACGAATTGTATGCGTATCTTGAATGCGATATAGGTAGACGTCGAGTAAAGGCAGGTGGAGGCGGGTGTTGGGCGGTGGCTGTTAGTGTCGGGTGAAGGATGCAGTCTGGAATCACTCAAGCAACATGCGGCGCGCCAGGGGCACGATCGTCGTTGCCGCGCACGCTAAACTGTGATTGGCAAGGATGGTCGTCTCATTGCGACGCCTCAACACCATGGAAAAAGAACGTACATGATCCAAGTCAACAATCTACCAATTGCAGTGATTGCCATTGTTTCCATGGATACTTAACAACGCTATCATCAGCTATCTCGGCCTGCGCATGACTTGCTCGGCTCGCATCTCCTCCACTTGGAGCCGGTACCTGAATCTACATTATCGGGTCTCCACATTCCACCGCCAAAAGTGGGTTTCGATGCAGCCTGTGTTTGCACGTCGAATTTTTTGAGATTCTCTCCAGTACACCTCTTGGTGTCTATAGTACAGACGCTTCCTTGGCCGTCATGCCCGTGTTTTGCTACTCAAACGCCATTGCCATGCTAGATGGGGATATCCTAAAATTCCAAAGAAAAGGAGATGCTTGCCCTTGTGTCGTTCCAATTCAAACAGCCTGCGCATTCCGTACTTTTGGGTTGCTCATCTTCAGGCTGAAGGATGTTGGTAATCTACAGGTCATGGTTGCAGCCTGTCCCGCCTTTTGCAGTTGGAGTGTCAGCTCCTTGAGCTTCTCTGGTGTGAAGATTTGTACGTCAAACGACAACAGGAATTCTACGCATAGCTCTAGTCGGCTGAGTGCCGCCTCGTCGACACCTCCCACAGCAGCAAAGCGTTTTTGTGGCCATCTGTGATCTTCCAATGCCTTCATCGCCACGAGGGCGCACGCTAAGATGAGCCGATGCATTGTCCGGTATGTGAGGGGAACGCTCCTATCGATAACGCATAATCGCAACATGTACGACCCAGCAGCTAGCCAGACAGCCGTAGACAACGGGCAGAATCTCTGGATGCGGTTCATGTACTCCTCGACGCCAACTTTGGGAACAGTCTTGGAGAAAAACTTGCGAGCCATGTTGGCTCGTTGCACGGACTCGGGCTGCGCTCCGGCGCCAATGTCGTGTATAGTGACGGGCTCATCGTGACCCGCTTCCGGTGGAGCTAGTTCGGTCGGTTGGTGATTCTCTTTTTCGGCGGGGATAGGCGTCGCTGGTCTGGACGCTGTCCGTCGGTGGGAGCGTATGAGGTGGTTTTCCCGTCCGCCAGGCGTCCCGGGCCGCGAAAGTGGTGGTGTTGCGGGCACATCGCCAGCTGCATTGGCAATGGCAATTATTGAGCGTGCGATCAACTTCATGGCGGTTTCCCGTGACATGGTCAAAACATCGAGATCGTCGTCATTGGCAGGCGGTGATGGTGCGTCTTGCAGGCTGAGGTTGTTGAAGTCTGGTAGTACGCCTGCGTCGCCTGCCGGGTTGGGTGCTGAGGGGGGATTCATTGTGGTTTGGTTTTGAATGACCGGTGCAAGCACGAGTCGCCTCGGATGCACGGTCTTGTATGGAGGGGCCGAGTGACAGACTTGGATCATTTGGACGTGTGGATATGTTGCCGATGTCTACCGATATATTGTGCAGACGGAAAGCGTGTCGAGGGATAGTCGGAGAGATTGATGTGCGACAATGTGTGTGCTTTGTCTGCCATGAATCAACAAAACTCCAGTGTAGTATAGGATGTTAGCTTACACTTGGATGTGACGATCAGCGCGGCTAGCGTGTCGACCAGGATGGGGGTTCGTATTGGCGGTTGGCGGTTGGCGGTTGGCGATGGGTATGAGTGGGAGTGTGGTTGTGTAGCAGGAGTACAGCAGGCGGGCGTTCAGGAGATGATGAAGACGGGTAGTGCTGGTAGACGGAATTATTGAAGACACGATAATCGATAGCCTCGGGGCGTGGCGTTGGTCTGTAGGGTCAAGTGACGCTAGAAGGATTGCGTCCTGACTTGATCAAGCTGGCTGGAACTGTAATGCAAGCGCCGTCCCGAAGCTCGCTGCCGTCTTGTACAAACGGTGGCCATGGGCAGTAGCGTAGAGTGGCTGGAAGTACGCTGCAAGGCGCGGTGAGGCCCGCCGAATGCGCTGGCGGGTCACGATGTAGAGGTACGTGGAGCGCTGGAGAGCGTGCGACTCACGATGCGAGGCCCGGGAGCGGGTCTCGTGAGAGCAGAAAAAGGCTAGATTGCTGGCCCACCGGGCCGTGCTGTACAGGCAGAAGACGCGCAGCTATGTCCAAGCAGCCTGTCTCTCTACATACGACGAGAGGGAGCAGGAGCGACGGTGGATCCAGGCAGGCGTGATTGGCGGTTAATTGGTTGTTAAGTAAGAAGCAGCGGGATGAGCGCATGCATGGGCTGGAGCAGTTCCGGAGAGGGTTCCGTATGAGGTGCTGCAGATGGGAGAGATATTGGCCAGGCGACTGCGGGGCAGATGCGAGGCGCTGCAGGGTCTGTCCAGCCTGGGAAGAAGCGCAGAAGCCCTCAAGACACGCGGGAGCGGCCTATTCGACTGTCATGTGAGAGCCTTTGCCGAGATGAACAGGACGCTCGGAGAAATCAACTTCAGAAGTGTCTGGCCAGACTCGGGTCCACCGTCATGGCAGCTGGACCGCGGCTGCTTGTATATACCCACCTCCCTTTTGTGTTTTGCCTCGACCACTTTGGGTCCTCACTTCTGCCATCGTGACCATGTCTCACGGTTCTTGGGGTACAGAACATCCGCCCCCAATGCGTGTCTAGCGCGAGCCTGCTTGCATGATGGTTGTGGGCAATGGTAGCACGCAGCTGCACACCCTCCTGACCGAGTGTACATCAAGCAGCACTACGCATGCATCGCGGGCCCGGGTCGCCATGTCACAAACTCTACGATCGCACAGCTTGCAGCCAATCGACCCACCGCAAATCGTAGACTCACACACGGCGATGCACCTCCACGTGTTCGCGCAGACCAGGCCGGCCCTCGTACCCTCGGGTGGCGTCTTCGACTCGTCGATAGCCGGTCCGCAATCTCGCGACCCGGTGGGTGACAGATGTCAGAGGACTATTGTCCGCAGTCATCGCCAATGGTTCGCGGATCGACGACATGCTATAAACTACCGGGCTATGGGAGCATGGAGCTTTGGAAGGCCCCGATTCAGGCTTCCGTGAGCGTTAGCGTGAATACCACCTTAGTCCTTTGGTCCGCTCACAGTCGACGCCTTGAACGACGGCGTTGCTAGTCCCATCTACCTTCTCACTACCTGTCCAACAGCATTGAAGACTACGTATTTCCACGTCCACGATCACGATCACAATCACAACCACCCTTTTCTTGCATCTTTTCTCACCCTTTGCTAATCGCTCAAGTACTACCCAGGTATACCTCCACATCACGAAGCGACATATACCCCTCTTTCGACTGTCCTTGGCACCCTACACATCCAAGTAGCAATAACGACTCTACACTCCCGCAAAGGTCGCTGTGCATGCAAGACCGTCGTCCCAACAAAACTTGTAGGTCGATAGCGCAGTATCATGTTCGCGCCATGCGACCCCCGTCCCTGCAGCAAGCTACCCGTCAACGTCACCATGCATCTCTCGGCTTCATCTCCAGCAAGGGTCAATGCAAGTAATTGCATCTCATGACAGCGACCATAGGCAAGTCTCCAGCAGATCGTTCGCCATGTCTCGGAAGATGTAAGATATAATCTGCAAGTGACCCTGGGGAAGATTCAGAGATGGCCGCACCTCAGACAAGGAAGACACTAAACAAGCCTGCAGCCTACATCAACATAGAAACGTGCAAAGTAGACGACCTAACGTCAATGTAGGCTCTAGGGTAGTCAGTTTTGTCCTTGAATAAGGTGTACGTCCATGTCTGAAGCTCCCCTAGGGTCACTTGCAGATCGTATCTTACGTCTTCTATGTTAATGTAGGCTGTAGACCTCTTTGGTTTTTTCTCTACATGAGGTGCGTATAACCATGTATTCTACAAGATCCACGAGTTCACGGTAGTTTTGCCCACTAAATTTATACTTCGCCGTTGTCTGTTATCTCTGATCTGTGTTGTGCGAAGTATACTCCGCTCGTAGCAACGAAACTAGGGAGCTTACTCAGATCTCGATGTCTAGCATATACGAGGTCTGGGAGACGCACCACTATGTCGTGACGGAAGGAGCTCCACGTTCCATTCGCTGGTCTCAACAACATACTGTTTCTCACATAGCGCCGTCGAGGCGTTGCACCAATTGCTCATCAAATGTTCAAGTCGAAAGCTTGTCATCTGCCTTGTAGAGGCTTCGATTTCCGGAGATACCTGAATCGGCTACTGTACACGGTACTACTATCGAGAACTTACGGTCCCAGCCAGCGCTACTTCCAACCCCTACGCCAAACAGGATTTTTGACATTATAGGATATCAGTTTGCTGCTGATTCTCGACGGTATATGTGACTAAGATCATGGGCGTGTATGTTACAAAAGGAATCTGTGTAAGTAGGAGAAACAGCTTGCAGATCCGAATGCAGGATCTCGCTGAAGCCACGCAGGACACGCAGCTGGCGTTCGAGGTGATTTGCAAAGAGACTCGGAAGCACTCTCGGGTAGGTATGCGAGAAGGCAGGCGCGTGTAGTGCTTCAAGTAGGTTGTAGGTAGTTTTTAATGGGGTCATGCGGTGGTGAGATGGCTACATGGGCTTCTGTGGGATTGATCTGCAGCTGTAAGAAAGCTTGAGTACCTCCTGGGTCCGGTAAGATGCTTGATTCCGTTGTGAAAGAGGTTGATGTAGCCGTGGTCTAGGACGGCGAGGCAAATCCAGCACGATGCAACATCGACTATCGCATCTACACCTGACTCACTCTAGCCCTCTTTCTCGTGCTTCCAGGAACCACAGTCGGTCCACTTCGGCTTGGTCCATCATCACCACCACCACCACCACGCTTCTTCTCCTGTTGGTCCAAGACGAGCTGCAGCACATCATACGAGAATTGCGGAAATTCCAGACACATGGCCTTGAACTCTGGCTCTGCGTCGTGGCGCAGGCTGTAGCTGCGTGTGGCCCAGAAAGCAACGACAGGCTTGCGGATCGTGGCATCTTCTGGGTTGGACTCCTTGTATACGTAGCGTGCGTAAGCAAGCTCGCCCTTTGCGGTCGACGCTGTACGGTGGATCTTGGAATGTGCGAGCGATTTCAATTCGGGAAGCTGGAGACGGTCGGCAAGCGTGTAAATACGTGCGTGGACAAGTAGACCCAAGCCCTCGTTATCGGTAGAAGGCTGTCGCGGATCTTTTTCGAGGGGCGCATCGCGTGCGGCTGACGTCTTCTTGGGGAAGTATTCGCCTGTGTAGAGGTATTCGACGACTGAGCCCATGGCATCGACATCGCAATCTGTGTAAACAATTTGACGAGGCTGGAGACTGTCAGTGAGCGCATGTTCACTCGCTGAGGGCGTGATAGCGTACCCCTCCTGGCGCAAACTTCTCGACCTGTTTGGCGAACTCTGGTGACTTGACGAGAACTGCCTCGTGTGCTGAGTATGTGGTGCGGTTGTCTCCTGAGCCAACGATGACTTCGACGATCGGACTCTTCATGAGACTGGTCGCATGTTAGCCGCGCGTCCATGTTGCATGTCGCTAACTTTCCAGATCCAGGAAAGATATGATAGTAGCCCATAGAGCTGAGACTGGTGTTGCGCGCCTCGTCTTCAGCTCTTCAGAGCTGGCAAACTTCATGCGCGCGATGGTCGCGCCTCGTCTCAAGCGAGCCATCTATTCAATTCAGCGAACCAGAATATGTACATGACCATCACTTACTCGGCGAAGAGAACCAGCTTGGGTGCTTCAGGCTCAATCTCCGGCAAGAGAGTTGTCTCCTCCTCTCCGCCAGCTCCAGCGTCACCCGCACCCTCCATCTCAATGTCGTCGATCGGTGTGCCCTCAATTGGGGTTTGCTGCTCGAGATCCGCCATGGCGACTAGGTTCCTGTGTTTGCAAGAACGAGCGACGGTGTGCGAGAGCGAATGAAGCTATCTGAAGCTCAAGAGTAGCTGTCCCGAAGTGGCATGTCGGCGCACGACAAGTAGTATGGGTTGCGAAAAGCCGACAGAGTGAATGTGTGATAGCGTCCCACACGGATCGCGTCTGGTGATGGGTGGACTGACTTACACAGTGCTGAGGGGATATTGGAGATGACGGCTGGCACACGCCTGGAGCTCGGACGCGTCGCGAATGCTGGGGGAGCTTTCACTTGCGCTAACGCAGGAACAGGCCTTGGCGTGTTCTAGCTTGCGTTCACAGGTACGGTTGACTCGGACTGCGGTCGACGGTCAGCATCCGGCCATAGTAACAACTAATGAACAAATTGAACGATAATGTTTGAGTATGAATTCAGAATATTTACATATAAACTCGCCGCGAGTCTAATAACCACGTGCGATACGTTTACTGCTTGGACCAACGCCGCCTGTAATGCAATATCCTGTAAATGCGACGAAGTGTAAGCGACCGTGGTAGTTAACCAAAACCAAAAGCCGAGATCAAGCTGCCAAAACTATAACCGACCACCCTTCTCATGGAAGCGGTCACCGGTTGTGGGAACGGGTTTATCCGCCCGGATAACGTAAAGCAGGAGATCTTCGAGCGGGATGAAGACGTAGAAGACCTTGTTGCAAAGGAAAGAGAAGAAGACGAAGCAGGTAGCCACCAAGGCGTCCATGAAGTAATGGTTGGCCGTAGCAACAATGACCGTCAGGATGAAAGAGGGGTATCCTATTCCAACAATCAGGTAGAAGATCTTCCAGAAGGCGTTCTTGCGCACTTCGCCCTGTTCCAAGGTGCGGCGGAAGAGACCCGAATGGTAGATCATGGTCATGCCAATGCAGAATGCGTAGCCAAAGTGCATCGAAGGCATCGCTGCGAGTTGGTTGACAAACTTGCCACTCATCCATACACTTTGCGCGTCATCATGGCGGACGGTGTCGAGGAAGCCGTACTCGGTGGGTAGGAGTCGTGGTGGCATGCATGGGTATACAACGAAGGTCATGAAAGCGCAGAAGTTGGTAAGGGTGAGGGTTCGGCGGGCGACGGCGAAAGTGTCAAATGACGGGGCTACATAGTAGTACCAGCAGATGAAGCTTGAAAATGTCAGTGGTGATGCAAGAAGTTATGCCACAGCAAACTTACCCAACAGTTCCTGGGATGTGGATCAGCGCATAGCACTTGTTCAGCACTGTAAGCGCATCTTGGTGTCCATGCATGAACCACTGTTGTACGTCCCTCTCTCGAACCGGGAACAAGAACCTCAGGAGGCCATATTCCTCCGCTTCCAGTACTGCAATTCCGTGTTCCTGAGATACGTCCCATATCCCGCGCCCAGCGAAGAGCTTAGCCGATACGACGCCAGTCATGCGGTAGAAGGCATAGTTGATAACCCAATAGAACATCTCAATTAAGAAAGGGAAGCGCTGCAGTATGCGACTGTGTACATGGTGGCGGAAACGCGATGTGTTGGGTGTCGTAACTTTCCAGCAGAAGATGCTTCGAACTTTGGGTGCGTTGGGGTTCTTAACCGCGCTGATCTCGTCGAATTCGCTGTCGCTGTCGGACTGGAGGAGGCGGTCTGTAGACTCGTTCGGGGTGTTGTCGAGGAAGCCGGTGCGCTGTGATGACCGGCCGAAGATTTTAAAGTCGCGCTTTCGTGTTATGAACATGGCGAAGAAAAGTATGCTGGCTACCATCTGCTCGCGTGACGCTGTCAGCATGTTGTTGTGTGTAGGTAAATACTCTGGAATGGCTTCGGCTACGTACAACAGGTTCGCACCATCCTGGCAGCTTCCAGGCTGGTTTGCTGTTCCATTGGCCGTTGTCCGGCAAGGTCGAGTTCGCCATGATGTGTTGCGTGCGCCGATTCGGGATGCTCGTAGATTACGCTGCTCGAGGTGGCCCAACAGTGGTTGCAACTGTCGGCTCTATTCTATCCCCGGGTACGCGCGGAGGGTTGTCGTCGGACACAAAGTATGTTGACAACGCAGGTAAAGGAGTGACGGGAAACAAAGGAGGGGAAGGGTTCAGACCAGGTGGAGAGGAGACGAGTCCGCCTGCTTCACTCGATGCTTAGCGGGCCTATGATGGTGCTTGCTTCAAGTTCGCGAAGCCCCCGGGTTGCCGGCAAAGGAGGTCAGACGTCCTGATCAAAGCGTGCGTACAGCGTAGCAAAGTCCCACTTTTTCAACTTTAGTGGCTTGGGACCTGCGCAGCGGCGCGCAACCCGCTAGAGGCACAGGCTTCCTCCCAACTGATTGTTATTCGCCTCGCATTCACCGTTCCCATCTTCCAACTGTGTCGCGTGCCCATCCTCGTTGAGCACGCGACCATCACAAAGTAGTGCTGGCGCCACTGCACAGCAATACCACGGCAGCATCAGCGAAGTAGCCAAGCCCAGGGAGTAAGCACAAAGCATTGTGACGTCAATTGCTCATTTCGTCGGGGCGCAGTTGGCCCGTAGAGGAAAGGAAGCATCGAAGTAATTGCTCGCCTAAATGCCACCCTGTCTGGTTGGCCGTAACCGCATCTTATGACAATGCGATTCCTACAATGCCCTTGTTGCTACTGAACTCGGTGCTCTCAACACTGCCACTCTCTGCTTGGCAGCGCAGCGGATTGATGATGATAGGGCCGTTGCTATTATGAGGATGCCGTCGTAGTAATCGGATGCGGCCGATTACTCTTCCGTCCGGAAAACCACTTACAGTGCGGCCGCTCCGTACTCCGCCCCTGAGCGCGAGGAAACTTGAGCGAACATTCGGACAACGATGGGCGGCTTTGAAGCTATTGCTTGGTCTTATAAGACGGGGCCGCAATGGAAGCGGATTGCTTGGCAAGCAAAGGCGGTAAGGCGCGCGCCCATAATAAGCATCGTCTAAAAGTACCGGTGAATCCTCCCTACCCGAAGCCCCTAACTACGTTTCAGCCCTGGCGTTCTCGTACGAGACCCAAGTTATACGAGAAACACACGTCGACGTATGTTCACCGCATTTGATCCATCTGCATCTTGCAGAATCTTTCTTCTGATGCCAGGCAGCCGCGTACCGACATTCCGACCACCTTCTTCCAGAAGGAAGTCGAACACATCTTCGCAGCCGGCACCGGAATAAATCAGGCAGAGTAAAATGATCTGACGTCGATGTAGGCTTCAAGATTAACCAAGTCATAGTATATGCTATTGTAGCAACTAAGATGTTTGGTTTTTCTCACGCTGAGAGATGCTCAAGGCTGTCCAGTACTCAATACTTGCATCATCGTTTCGATTCTCTTGGTCGCTATAGCCCCATCATACGAGTCCATCCTTTACAGGAAAAAAGAACGTCCATCACTGCTTGGTGAACATCTCGACCTCGGATCATGTCGCACCCGAGACCTGGAGCGTCATGAAACCAAGAGACCTCCGACTGCAAATCCTGCAAACGCACGCTCGGAGGTGCAATGTCCAAACAGCTCCCTGGTGACTTTGACATCATGTCGGTCTCCGAACATCGTTGTGGCTTGGGTCTGAAGGTCGTGGCTGCCATGACACCCGGACACTTGCCCATTTCGGGCTGCTGAAACCTTGTCCGCATCACAATCCCAACACGCATATATGCGTCCCCGCCGATGAAGTGAGCTTCACCACTGCAATACTCCTGCAGCCTGACTTGCTACGTACTCTCCGACGGTTCCTGTCAGGCCAAGACTTTGGCGAGCGAATCCAGGCTTCGCTGCTTCTTCCTCGTCAGGCACGAGTCTGATTGGTCGATCGCAGCGTGCGCCTCATCGCGAACATGGATTTGGCCCGGTAACGTCCATGCCAAGCACTGTCAATGCTGTCTACACAGTGGAGAGGCAGCTGTAAGTGTTCGAGACGGGTGGGGGAACAGCGTCGTCGTCGCCCTGCCTAGGCGCCTAACCGCCTCAGGGCATCCTCGACATGGCGAAAACGATGCCGGGAATTCATCAAACGCTACCAAGTGTGGAACTGCTCCAGATGATCTGTTTGCTTCTAGGGGTATGCTCTGAGTCTCCTCCATGCCGAAGGAACCGGGCAAGGTACATATACCTCGAAACCCCGAGCCTCACAAATTCTGCCCACTCTCACATCAAGTCGTCTTCAAACACCTACCTTCTTTTCTTCAAAGTGCCGTGCACTAGTGTTTAATTTTATTGAGCTGAGCTCTTCATTCTCTCTTTTCCCGTCGTAATAACGAAGACTCAAGTTTCATTCCTGTCCTTTTAGATTCCCCCAAACTACCCATAATGAAGACCATATACCCCCTTCTCACCCTCCTTTCGGCGGCCGCTGTCGCTGCTGGTCCTCTTCCCCGGAATGTCGACATCCCGTCTAGGGTTGTGGCTCGTACCGAACACATGGGCGAGGCTGCGCCCGCTCCGGCAGTTGACCCTGCCAAGGCAGCCGCCGACGCCATGGAGTCCATGCACGTAGCAGAGGCGGAAGCCAAGGACAAGGCGCATCAGGAAGCCGCTGCGAAGATGGAGGCCGAACATCAAGCCAAGGCTGAAGCAGAGGAGAAGGCTCATCAGGAAGCTGCGGCGAAGATGGAGGCTGAGCACCAAGCGAAAGCGGAGGCAGAGGAGAAGGCTCACCAAGAATCTGCAGCTGCTATGGAAGCCATGCACGTGGCCTCCGAGATGGCCAAGGACGCCGCTCACAAGGCGTCCGCAGATGCTATGGAGTCTATGCATGCCGCGTCTGAGAAGGCCAAGGATGCCGCTCACAAGTCTTCTGCGGATGCTATGGAGGCCATGCACGTCTCTCAGGAAATGGCCAGTATCTCAGCCGCAGCTACCACCACTGAGGAGGTTGCGGCGACAACTACAGCCGAGGCCATCACTCACGAGACTGTTGCACCAATGACCACGGCTATGGTCGAACAGCCCCCCGCTCCTATGGTCACTGAACACCCCATGCCGCCACCTCCTGCGGCTGAGATGCCGCCACCACCACCTGCCGAGATGCCCGCGCCGCCAGCTGAGATGCCTCCTCCAGCCGAGATGCCTGCACACCAGACTCAAGCAGCACCCGAGCATACCATGATGCCACCACCACCACCTGCTGCCGAGATGCCTCCACCAGCTGAGATGCCGCCTCAGGAGACTCAGGCCGCACCGGAGCACACTATGCCTCCTCCGGCTGCCGTCACTGTCGTTCCTGAAGCCCCTGCCGCCGGCAACATGTCCATGACCCACGCTGCACCAGCTGCACCCATGGTCACTGAGAGTTTCTCTTTGGTAATGGGTGAGGCTGCAAACGCCACTGCTTCTGCCAACATGACCGTTTCCGCCACCGAGACTACTGCTGAGCCTGCAGCCACCGAGGCACCGGGCGCAGCTGAGGAGGAGAAAAAGAAGATGGAAGAGGAGCAGAAGAAGGCTGAGGAAGAGAAGAAGGCCGCTGAAGACAAGGCAAAGCAACAAGAGGAGGCTGACAAGAAGGCCGCCGAGAAAGAAAAGAAGGCGCAAGAGGAGGCTGACAAAAAGGCTAAGGAAGAGGCGGACAAAGCTGCAAAGGAAGAAGAAAAGAAGGCTGCTGAAGAGGAGAAGAAGGCCGCTGAAGAAGCTAAGAAGAAGGAACAGGCTGACGCTAAGGCTGCCGAGGAAGAGAAGAAGAAGCAGGAAGAAGCAGACAAGAAGGCAGCTGAGCAAGAGAAGAAGCAAGCCAACGAAGACGCCAAAGCTGCTGAAGAGGACAAGAAGAAGCAAGAGCAAGAGGACAAGAAGGCACAGGAGGGTCAAGCCGAGCAGCAAGACGGAGCTGAAGCTGACGACAAGCAAGACGCCGCTCAAGAGGACGACAAGAAGGACGAGGGAGACAAGCAGGACGAAGCCGCCGACGCTGAGCCTGTCGCTGCTGAAGAGCAGAACGACGAGGCCGCAGCACCAGCACCAGCCGCGGAGTCTGGCGACGCCGTTGTCGAGTATCCTGCTGGTTTTCTGACCTCAGCTCGTCGCCGCGATGAGATCGCCAACATGCCTGTCAAGCGCGGTATGAAGGCTGTTGCGTTCTGATTTGATTGAACAATCTCCCCGGGTTGTACCCAAGGCGTGCATCTGGACATGCACGGGTATTAGAACATGTTTGAATATGTAGTGTTTAGAATAGATACAAGAATCGCCCACCGCATCTGCTTCATTGTCTCTGTTCTCGTGTCTACCACTGCCTTCCTTTCTCTCTGGGTCCGTCTATTGTCCAGCCTCGAATGTATCTCGACGCAATCTCTGGCCCGTGACTAGAGGCCATGTAAAGATCTAGTCCTTTCGCCCTGTCTTTCCAGATGTACCTTTGCTTCTTTGATATCCAAAGGGAATACCAACTCTGTACCTATGAGGACTAGGCGTCCTTTTCGTTGGCTGGGGACAAATGATGGACTTTTCCATTGAGACTTGTTCCTCAACGGTAGGGGCGGCACGAATCTTCGATGAAGCGTTGGCCCATACGCTCTTTGTTGGGACAATTGAGTCCAATTTCGAGTTGGCATGCTGTGGGTGCAAACGTGGAGGCGAAGCTGCGTTTGTTTGCAACTTTGCTTGCTCTTCAGAAATGATAGCTCGAGTTGTTGGAGCTAACATCGCAGTATCCTGGATTTGATCACCACTTGCAATAACGTCCTTGCCCTCTGGCATGCTATATTCATTCTGTATCCCTCATGGATCCTATAGTTGGACAGTGCATGCACGTTTGCAACGAACTGTAAGAGTGGTTCGACCATCTTTACGTCGCTGCAGTATGCAGTGAATGTCAGAGGTGTTGCGGTATAGGAATTGTCCAACCAACAGTCATCACTGAGACTGTAATCCCAGACATGGCAACAAGGTGTATCCACATCTGCACCCTTCAGTAAGAGTCTTCTCATCAAGCCCTTGCTTTCTGTCTCCAATGCACACCCTAGCAGCTTGATCCCCTTTGTGCGCACTTCCTGATCCAGGATAGCGTTCATGACGAGAGTGTAAAACCGGTAGTTCATCCGTGCGAATCAGCTTCGATCCTTGTTGGTCAAAATGCGCGACAACCTCCAAAACAAGCGTATTTGGTAGGTCGGCCAGCCCAACGGAACTTGGTTTAGAATAGTCGACGATAAACTCGAGGACTAGGTGGTTGACTTGATGCAGACGGCGGAGGTCGGCTGGGCTGAGCGGCGCAACGATCTCACGGAGAAGCTTACTTGGAAGGCTTAGTAATCTTTGTGGTGGATGCGCCATATTGTAGGTATGTGCTAGTCCGGCGAAGTTGATGGGATGATGTGGATAATCTCGTGAAGCAGTCCAGTAACAGTTGCTTTGGTCGCCAACTGTAGGGGTGCGCGCGGAAGCCACAAGAGCGCGTCCAGTGATCTAAGCAACGCAGACGAGGTACTCTGGAGCCTACAAGTGGTGTTGGGAGAACAGGAAAAATTCCTTAAACGCTCTCGCCGTAGACCTTATACGCATGGCGTAGCCCACCCCAGAGCTAGCGCTTGTGTTGCCTGCGACAGTGCGCTTTGATTGGACCCTTTCTCGCAACATTCACTCTGCTAGTGACTACCTGGTCTTCGCGTTCCGCTTTACGTCAGGTGACAGTACGATGGAGCCGCTCAACTCCCCCGACTGAGGTCTGTGAAGCGATATCTCGATTGCAAATGGTGGGGAATTATCTCAGGCAGAGGGTGTTCAGACGAAAAGTGGGAGTTAAGAGGCTGACTTGCACCTTCCCCATGAACACAAGCGAATAGACACCCACATATGAACGTCGAATCAGTCCCCACCACTCTGATCAGGCTTCAAACGAGAGTACACTTGCACATCAAAGACGACTCATTCAAGAGGACAATGCAATATATTCCCGGAATGCCTATACCCATGCTACCAAATGCTAAATCGACCTGGTATCCCCAATCTTGCCCAATCCAGCCAAAAGCAGACGCCTGAAGTGAAGACATGACAGCCTATCCCAAGAAAAACCAATCGTACATCATGAGGTAGTGCCTAGATCATGACATACAACGCCCGCCAACCAACCGTAAAGAAAACGCTCATGTAACAATGACCCTGGAAATCGCTAACAAAATAAGGGAAGAATGAAAGAAGGAAGGAGTTGAGAATGAACGAATACACACATGAGGATTAAAAATAATACTAAGACTTTGGTATAAAGACAAGGCTTAAAGCGAATGCATGTTGGTGGAAAGAAATAAAAGGGAAATGTAAATGAAGGATGTCAATATCAAACTTTTGGTCCTTGCGAACCGTGACCTGTGGTCTTCTTCTGCTTCTGCTTCTGATGCTCGCGTGTGTAATCAATGGTTTGGTCAAAGAAAATGGAGTGAGTGAGGTAGTCGGAGAGATCGGATGATGCTGGTTTGGCGTCGTCGTTCTCGTCGTCGTCTTCGGCTGGGGATAAGTAATCGTCGTACGAGGGGTCTTTCGTTCGCTTATTGGATAGCTTATCCTTGGATGACGAACTGATGGTATGTTGTTTATTGGAGGTGTGTTTGGCGTCGGTCGAAACAATATCCATGGAGTCGACGGCTTTCGGACCTGCGTACGGACTGCGGATACTAGGCGCTCGAATGGTGGTGTTTGAGTTCTTCTCTTCTAGAGCTTTGTCTTGGACGTCTTCGACACTTAGCACGTTTGTCGGTCCAACGCTCGGTATTGGCGGAGGTGGCATCGATTTGCGCGCCTGCTTCTGCTTGTCCTCTTTGCGTGGGGATGCCGGGATGGTGAATATGGGAATAGGCTCCGGCTTGATCTGTAGCTCGGCTGCACGCACGCCCTCACCAAACTTGGGGGCTCCTTTCTCATCCCAGAGTCGCTCGTCGATCCTTGCCTCATCCTCGCTAGTGAAGTTCAGGTCCTTGATGCTCTCGTCAAGACTATGGCGTATCCGCTCGCTTTCAGACGATACCCGCTCGAACTCCCCAAAGCCTGAATCTTGATGCATTGGCATACGGTACCCTTGCGCTGTTGAGAAGCCCGTGCCAACTCTGCGTGAAGGTTCCGGACGATCGAAGACAGAGAAGCCAGTGCTGACTCGCGATGGAGGTGAAGTATTGGAGGCGGAAGAGTCCATGGCAACATCGTATTCCAGGTTGGTGAGCACTCCAGAAGCAGGTATGTGGAATTTTCGACCTTCTTCGTAGCCCGGCGAGGCATCTGAATCCAAGTCTCCTTGATCTGGCTGTGTCTGTGCCAGTTCGTGTACGCGAGTGCTAAAGGAGGCCTTGTTCCCAAACTCTCGATGATCCTGATCAGACGATCCTTGTGCGCTGTTTCGCATAGAGTGTGGCTGAAGTCCACCAACAAACGACACGGCCAGCGGAGTGTCATCGGCTGGCCTGCCCCCAAGAAATGAATTCTCCATCTCGTTTGGTGGACTTGTGATACATATGTCTTTCGGCTCTTGCGTGACAAAGTCATGGACGTCAAGGTCTGCGCATCCTCGCTGAACAAGCTTCGTATCGCCGTCAACGTAGATCTGCTCCCACCTTGTTTCTCTACTAGCTGGCAGGCTTGCAAGCTCATTCTCGAGCTCCGAGTCGTCGAGCGACATTACTGACCGGTGGCCGGGATAAGGCGAGTATTCGCTCCGTCTGTTTCTCTCGCTGGTGCTCAAAGGGCCAGGAGAACGTCCGCGGTCGGAGCGGCTGTTGGGAATGATGTATGAGCCAGAGGATGCGGGGTATTCGGTGCGTGGTATATGAATTTCTTCAAATGACGACTGTTGTCTTGAGTGGCGGCGGTGTTTAGATATATCCTCGAGATCGACTGCCGTCCTGGGGTCGATGTACTCCTTGTCGCTTCGATGTGTAGAGACACTACTTCTTATGGCAGCTTTGGGCCTGAAGTCCCGGTCTAGTATATCGTCAGGGAATTTCTTGAGCAGGCTTGCCGCTGACGGTCTCCCCTGGGGTGAGTCACTGAGCAGGGCTCTGATAATATCGCGGAAGTACACCGGTACATCTGTATTTGGTCGATCGAGGGTGCGAGTTAGTGGTCGCTGTTGGCGCTCCGGCTCGTCTTGCAGTTCGGCTAGCGCCCACAGTACCATGCCCAATTGAAAGAGATCTGACTTGACGCCGATGTATATTGTTACACGCTGTCCGCTTTCGACCAGCCTAGCCAGCTCAGGGGACTCCCAGCCGACGGGGCACCCGCGACGGTTGATGTCGATGATCTTGGCGTTGTCGTCGTTATCTATGACGATGTTCGAGAGCGTAAAGTCACCTTGCACAAATCCAGCTTCATGTATCTCGGACAGACCCTCGACGATTTGTCGAGCCCACCGCTCACGGCGCTCCCAGGTGAGTTGGCCCGTGGGCTTGTATTGGCCTGTGGGCTTAAAGTCGTAGATCACGTCCACCAGTGCGCCCAGCTCGGCATAGCTAATGAGTAGCCCTTTGATGAGCTCGTTCTGCTCATCGACTATGACGCCTTCGAATTTGATGACTGACTTGGATTCTTTCAGGCTGACGAGAGCGTTGATCTCGTACAGAAACTCCTCGACCGCGTCTGGACCCGGGATCTCCTTCTTGATATACGTATTGTTGTTGACGGAGACCTTGTATACGAAGCCTGAGATATGAGAGTCGAAGGAGATGGCGTTCTCTCGGAAGCGCTTGCAGTCCAGGTGTTCGATGGCTGACGTAGGTGGGTACGGGATAGCCTCGTTGACATCCTCGGTGACGTGTACATGAAGACGACCGTCGGCAGTTTCGAGCTTGAGGTTTGTAACGGTGTCGTAAAACTGGATAGCTGGCAGGGAGTCGCGGATGGCTTCGTAAATGCGCTTGCTCTTGTCGCGTTGGTAGTGCATCGTTTTGAGATCAGCCTCGAGTGAGTCGGCCTCAAGATGCCGGTAGTCGCACGATACTGTAACTCGCCTCCATCTGTTGGGCTCCTCGGCAAATGTGACGAAGAACTTCTCGCGGTCCGACAAGTCGCGGAAGTGCATGCTGAGGTTGAGGATCCACTTTGCTTCGAGCTCCTCCTGCAACCGTATATCGTCAATGTCTGAACCTGAGTGATGCGAGCCGCGGTCCGAAAAGGCGTCTGCTACCTCGACTGGTGAGAGTTGTGGAGGTCCTTCGATTGTAGACACTTCGCCGGCCGACATGTAGTCTTCGGGTTCTTCAATGCCGTAATCGACCTGGCGCGCGCCTGCTGGTATGTTGGAGTCTGGACCGCCGCCAATGGTGCGCTCTATACTGGGGAATGACTCTGTTTCTGGCAATGACTCCTTCTCCTTCTCGCTATGACTTTCGTGCGGACTCAGCACGTCTGGAGCGGACATGGAGGGCACAGACATGGGAGGGGGCGAGGGGTTTCGTTTCGAGGGGACGGAGCTCTTGCGGTCTTCCGAGACGGCTCTTCGATGTTCCGTCTCTGGCACCTCGAGCAGCTTGTCTCTCTTCTCGCTTTGCATTCGCTTGAAGGTCAGGGGCCTCGGCAGGCCCGGAATGACTTTTCGGCTGCCTCTCCGCCCCAGCAGTCCGCCGCTCGAATGGGGCCTCGTGATCTCTTTGCTGTCCTTGTTCTCTTTGTTCTCCTTGTTCACGCTCTCGGACATCCTGGCGGGCTTGGTGGGCGAGGGCGGCGGCGTGTGCTCGTCCTTCTTTAGCCAGGAGCCGATCTTCTGGAAGTTGAGGCGGTCCCACATGCTCCTGTGCTCGCCCACTTCGGTGCGCGCGCGCTGGCGGCTGCGACTCCTGCTCGAGTCGCCATTGTCGGCCGATAGCAGCGGCATCTTCTGCGCCGGACGCTCAGCTCGCGGTCAGGCTCTTATCCCCCTCTGCCAGCCTTCGCGGTGCAGAGCGCTGGGCTACCAAGGCGGGGGTGACGTTGGCGTGCGGGCGCGCTGCGGGCAGGTTCCTGGTCGGTGATGGTTCGATGCAGTCGATTGGATTGGTGCTATCGATTTGGCGCCGACTGCATGCTGTGTCGCGGTCCTGTGTAACGGTGGCTTCCTGCGTCCATGGATCTAGTTCATGCTCCGTGCCACGCCACCTGCTCGCTGCGAATTCGAGGGCTGCAGACTTTGCACGACAATCTCCGTGCTAATGACGAAAATACCGCGGTCGTCTATTGTTGACGCCCAAGCGACATGCGCAGGCTTTGGCGCCTGACTTCCGACCAAATGAGCAAACGGGCCGCAGGGGCAATGCACGAGGATGTCGCTGGTGAGGCTCGGTGGGGGGTCTGGTCAGGAGCAGGGCGGCGACGAG